GGATAAGGTCCTGACTGGAAATTTAAATCTGGGAATCATTAGCCTGTGGAGGGCATTTAAGCTGTGAGGCCCCGCAATGTCACTAAGGGAATGAAGGAGGACAAGAAAAGAGAAAAGGCATGAATCGGAGCCCTGGGCACCTGAGTCTCTAGAGGTCTAGGGATGAGGAAGAACCCACAAAGGAGGCTGCAAAGAAGCAGTCACGGGGTTAGAAGGAGGAGCAGGAGGAAGAGCAGTGTCCTGAAGACCAAGATCCAGCAGAGAGCGAGCGTCTTGCCTGCCTGCCCTCCCACATCTTCCCTCTTTCCCTCTCAGATATTCCCTGAGCCTGGAGGTGACTCTGATGCAGAATAGAGCCCCTGGTGTTAGGGAGGGACGGGAACAAGTAAACTGGCGATTCCTTTGCAGTGTGATGAGAATGGGGGAGCACTTATGCTGGAGACGGGTAGACAGAGTGGAGGCATCCAGTGTGGCCCCAAAGGCCAGGGAACAGCTCTCATGGAGAAGAGTCAAGGGAGGGTGAGACTTCACGTGGGCCATGGGGTGGAGACCCCACCAGCTTCGTGGGCACAGAGGCATTTGGGCGAGCTCTAGATTTCCGCAGACAAAGGTGGAATGGGATGGCGATTCCTAGCAACTTACAGAAGTGTCACAGGGAACGGTGGGTGACCCATTTGGGTTGGGGGCTCTGGACTTGGAGATTGCTTGGAGACAAGATGGGGAAGAAGTGTGAGAGAGGCAGTGGTCACCTTTGACCTCAAGGAGACAAAGCCCCACAGTTCAGGGTGGGAGTGGTGGGTGCCTAAATGGGAGGTTGAGAAAGTGCTGTAGGAGTTTTCTGGGCAGGAGGAGGTTGGCTGAGTGGAATCAAAGAAGGCTCCCAGAGGGAGGCAGACTCTGAAGAATGTGTGGGCTTTGAATATACCCAGATGCACCGAGAAGCTTTCTTGGCAGAGGAGACCGCACATTGCAAAGGTATGGAGGCAGGAGCTTGATGGGAGACGAGGTAGGCCAGATCCCTCGGAGTCAGACCCAAAAGGTTTCACCCCCATATCACATGGGCACCGGGAAGCCATCGCAGGCTCCTGAGCTGTCGAAGGACACAGTGGGATCTGGTTTTAGGCAGGCAGGTCAGGCAATGGTGTACAGGGTGAACTGGAAGGAAAGGGAAGGGGTCCTGGAGGTAGGAAGATGCCCAGGCAGGTGTCCACACACATCAGGGGCAGTGATGAGGTCAGCAGCAGGCACGGGTGGGCCCACGTGATGCTTTTCCTTTAAGCTGGGCCAAGGGTTTTGCAAACTGCAGTCTCATGACCCCACTGCCCTGCAGTGGGGGGAGAGGTTAGTATGCAGGAGCGTCAAAACGCTTCAGCAGCCTCAGAGGAATTTGTGTAGGGGCTGCTCAGGGCCAGTTGGGGGCAAGGAGGGCCACACTTCTGTTCATCAGCTTAAGCTCACATGTTCCCAGCATCCCGGGTACTTTCTATCCACTGCCCCCATTGAGACCTCCCTGCAGCCTTATGAGGCGGGCCCTATTGTCATCCCCATTTTGCAGATGAGCAGTGTGAGGCTCAGGGAGGTACACTGACTTGCCCTGGCACACAGCCAGTATGTGATGGAGCCGTTTTGAACCCACATCTCCCTGGCCAGGCCAGTGTTTCCGAGTGAGCTAAGGGTCCACAGAAATAACCAATGAACTGACCTGTCCAGTACTTGCTCTGTGCCAGGCACGTACAGCTGTCTTTATCAGATGTATCTGGGCCATGCACGTATGCAGTGCATTTTTCTAGGCTCAGAAACCTGCCATAGCTCCCCAGTACCCTACTCCAGCAGTCTTAACTTCATTTTACAGATGAGAACTTTGGCACTTGGAGCAGATATGTTGCTGGCCCAAACTGGGGTCTGAACCCAGAGCTTAGTTCTTTTAACACCTCACTGCCTCCTGCCTGGCAGGGAGGGACAGTAGGGGGTCCTTTGAGAACAGCAAGTGTTCAGAGCTGGAGCTGAGAGAGTGGGCCAACCTGGAACCCGCCCCAGGCTCAGGCCCAGTCCAAGCTGGCCGCCTGACTTTTGTGCCCTGTGGCTCTTTGCACATAAATTACGGGCCTGTTTAATGAATGGGATGCATCTTTTCTCCTCAGAAAGCTGCCCAGGCTGCCACAGGTGCAAACAGAGTTGAATTCAGGATAGAGCCTTCTTTCCTGCCCAGCCTGGCTGCTGGGTAACCTCTGGCCTGGAATGAAAGGCTTCCCAATAAGTGCCTTGCTGGCTCACAGCCCAGCTGTGTGGTAGGTGGGTATGAGGGTGAGAGATCAACCAAGAGAAGGATTCGGGAACCTGAGAGCGGGGGCAGAACCTTGCCAACAACCTCTAAGCAGGCTGCCTTCTCGACAGTGCCTCTGGGGGGCTGGGGAAGGAGAGCTGGTCACGAGGAGCCCTGGCTGCCCTCCCAGCCCAGCCAAGGCCCTGGGGCCTCTGGGCTCAGGCTCAGCCCAGGGGAAGCAGATCCCATAGGGTGAGAACACCAGGGCAAGAATCAGAAATCAGATACCCTGGGCCACCTCTCCCTGGGCCTTGAAGAATGCACAGCGCACAGCATGGGTTTCTCTTCAAGCCTTCCCCGCTCAGATCGGCCTCAGGCCCCTGCAGGGGTGGGGCAGGGTCAGCAACCAGATCTGAAATTGTTTTCACAGGGAGCTGAAAGGCAGCCTTGTCGTGGAAATACATCACACTTGACAGGGGCCGGGGCTCCCCAACTCCCTCGCTCTAACGTCTAATTTCAGGCCATCCCAGCCCTGCCCTATGGCCCTCATAAAAATCAGGTGTATGGTCTTGTGGTATAACAGCGGGGGTCTTACCTTCAGAGCCAGCTCTCTGTGGCCTGACATGACTCGGTTCTGTCCATGTGTGGCACATCAGTGTCCTCATGCCTGAGCACCTCAAGGTGCCCGTGAATCATGTTTTGCCTTTGACACCCTCAGAGGAAGCAGCTGGGATAAGCCAGGAAAGGATCAACTTTGTTTGGCTCTGGGTATGTTTTCCTACTAAATCCTTCAGCATAGGAGGCGTTGACATTCTAGAAATTCACTTCAACCCACATACCGAAGCCCTCCCAGAACACTGACTCTGGATTGAGAGGCCCTCGCTTCCCCAGCCCTCCCCTCCTTCCAGAAATGGGTTCTTTAACCTCCAGCCTTATCTTTCTCCCGACTTCTTCCTGATCTCCCTCCAGACATTTCCCAGGGGGGTGCGCTTTTTCAGACCTTGCCCTGACTTGCTAGGTGGTTAAGTGTTTGAGTTTCAGAAGGATTCTCTCCTGCAGAGTCAACACAAGTGAACCGTTAGGGAAGCACTAATTAAGGAGATTAGATGCTAATTCAGTGCGGGAGTGCCCACAAAGCTGTGCTTGAGACTCAAGTGGGACTCAGCGCTGCCAGGGAGCTCTGAGTTCCACTGAGGGAAGTGGAGCCTGCGATTCTCAGCGCTTTGAGCCCCTTAAAGGAGGGCATTGAAGGAACTCTTCTCATAAGCTACCTTGGTCCCTAACGGAAATCACTGCTGCCTGCAGTGACTATAGTTGTAGGAAGTTGATGGGAGGCAGCAGCCACCTCTTCCAGGAAGCCCTCTAGAAGACACCAGATGTATCTTTTTTCCCTTCCTTCCTCTTTCACAGCCCTCTACACTTCAGTCTCTGGTTGTGCCACATGGACAGGTCTTCCTCATCACTCTTCTGCCCAGTTTCTGGTGTGGAAAACTCATTTTTGCACAATTTTCTCAGCCTACTCCCAGGATAAGAGTTGAAGGCCCAGTGGCAGGGTCCAGGCCTCATAGCTCATGCTTGTGTACTCACTGCCGAGAGCAAGAGTAGCTATGAAAATCTTTGCTTTGTGCATCCTGTGGTTTCTTTGCCCCAACTTTTTTGCCTTTCTCTTTTTTAAACAGAAATAAATTTCTGATTATAAAAATAATTCATGAGTGAAGACATCAGAAAGCACCTGTAATCCCAGCACTGGGAGCTAACCGCTGAGTCCTGTCCTGCCAGACTTAGTTTTGGGCAGATGCATCCACATTTGAGATACAATAAAGAAATTATACTGTGCTTTTAATTTTTTTCTTTTGCAATCTACTTTTTCTTAACTTCGCAGATCCTGTGGGTGTCTCCCCAATAAACACAGGTCTATCTCACCTGTGTGGATGGCTGCATAGCGTTTTTTGTGTTTTTTTTTTTTAAGATTTTATTTATTTATTTTTAGAGCGAGGGGAAGGGAGGAAGAGAGGGAGAGAAACATCAACGCGTGGTTACCTCTCATGCACCCCCTACTGGGGACCTGGCCTGCAACCCAGGCATATGCCCTGACTGGGAATCAAACTGGTAACCCTTTGGTTCTCAGGCCAGCGCTCAATCCACTGAGCCACACCAGTCAGGGCTTTAGTGTTTTATTTTATATTTGAGCCACAATTTATATAACTAATCCCCTGCTGTTGGACCTGGAATTTATTCCTCCAGCTTTTTCCCATTATATATGACACTGCAATAAATACCTTCCTAAAAAAATATTTATGAACACCTTTATGGGTTTTTTTTTTTTCTTAGAGTGGAATTGAAGAGCCAGAGAACTGGCACATTTGTTAAGACTGTGCAAGCCTTATGCCAGTTCACCCTTACCCCCAGCATCACAGGACGGTGGCACTGACGGTGGACCTGCTGGCAGATAGGAGTTGCCCCAGGTCTGGGAAGGGGCTCAGCCCATGACCTCGGAGTCTCCCCGCACTAGCTGCCTGCTCTTTACTGTCCTGAGAAGGAAGCAGCCTCCAGGGGGACACAGGGTCCTTTGCTTGCCTTCCAAAGCTGGTGGGACTGGAGTCTCCCTAGATTGTTCCTGGGCCAGCCTTGGCCTTGGAGCCTGCCCAGGCATGTAGAGGGGTCTGGGTAGCTCGCATGGCTGGTTAGAGAGGATAAGAATGACCCTGGGTCACGCCTTCGATGTTCTGTACTGCAGGAAGCCTTAACGGGGCGACGGTCATTGACTCCCTTGACACCCTCTACCTCATGGAGCTGAGAGAGGAGTTCCAGGAGGCCAAGGCCTGGGTTGAAGAGAACTTTCACCTGAACGTGGTGAGTCAGTGGCCTGCGCCACCCTGTCATCTCGGAGACCCAGAGGTGTGGAGGTCTGGCCCCAAGCTGCCCAGCAGAGCAGTCCAGCCGTGGCCGCTCCTTCCCTGTCCTGGGGTGCCAGGCACGTTGTTCGCACCCAGGAACACCTTCTAGGGCTGAATCACAACAGCAGCAGGGGAAGTGACTCCTTGGAGTGGAGAAGCGGCTTATCTGCTCAGAGCTGCTCTCACCTAGAGCCACCCGCCCCCCCCGCCCCTGTGCTGTCCACCTGAGACAGGTGAGATGCCCGTGACCAGGTCCGAACTCTCTTGGTTTCCAGCCTCGAAGGCATCCCTGGTCAGGGACCAGAGACTGGGGAGGAGATGGCAATGTGTCTGGATGGCACAGAAGCCGTAAATAGGGGCCCCCACCCCCACTGGTCTCCCAGCCCAGACTGAAGTAATGGAGCCATCCCGCTCAGCATGGGGAGAGGCTGCTTAGACGGATTTAGGGAGCAAGAAAGGGAGACAGATGGGAGGGGGGAGGGAATTACATCAAAACACACTGCAGGGTTCCATCTGGGGCTCTCCGAGTGACAGGTCCTGGTGTGAATGGGGACAGCTCCTGCAGCTCATGGCAGAATTGAGGCCAATGTCAGTACAGAGTGGGGAGAGAGACAAACTGAAGGAAGTATGGGAAGGCAACATTATAGAATCGTTTTCCTAGCTTGGCACACAGCCTGGTAAAGGTCACTTAACCTCCCTGGGCCTTAGTTTCCTCAACTTTAAGATGGAAACTACACAACAGCAAAAACAATGGTGCCTGCTGTGCAGGCTCGTGAGCTTTAACTATCAAGAGGGTTGCAAAAAGCATTTTATAAAACCATAAAGTCCGATCCAGATTTAAGTGATGCCATTGCCATCATCATCATCATCATCATCATCACTAATTTGAAAGCTGTTATGACTTCTGATGGTCCGTGTGAGGTGAGGAGTTTGTAATCCCATTTCCTACTGTGTCAAATGGAAGGAAGGCAGAGGCCGGAGGAGGGGGGTGTCTTCCTAGACCCTCCTTGTCCCTCTGCAGATGGTGGCTAGAGAGTGGGCATGAGGCCTGAGGAGCCACGTGGCAGCAGGGCCAAGGGAGCCTGGGGACATTCAGGCAGGCTGGGGCGGGTTAGGGAGTGTCCCTGGAAGAAGCAAGACATGGTCACTCCCCCTCCCTGAGCCTCGGCTTTCTCACCTGAAAAATGGGAATGATGACACCAGTGAGCACTGCGAGACTGGCTTTGCAAGTGCTCTGTCAAGGGAAAAGCTCTCCCAGATAAAGGGGTGATGGCTGTTCTGGTCAGGATAAAAGCCCATGACAAGCAAAGTGTGCCAAGGAGAGCCCTGGGGGCAGGGGAGGCAGTCACAGGGGCCTTTATGAAGCCGCCCTGGCGCTGGGCAGGCACCTCACCTGCACCCCTCAGCATCTCCTATCTGACCTGCTCGGTATGAAGAAACTCGGGAAAAGAAAGGCGGAGTCTTGCCCAAAGTCCCAAGGCCAAGTAAGTGGCTCAGGTAGGATTTTCTCCCAGATCTGACGCCCAGCACCCCATGATTTGTAGACCACACTTCAGAAAGAAAGTAACAGAGATTCGGGCAAGGCTGGGCGTGCCCTGCAGGCTGGAGAGCCAAGGCAGAGAAATTGCCGGTTACCTACAAAGCTGCTTGGCGCTCCTCCCTCTCAGTCTCAGTCCTGCCCCGTCTGCCCCAGGACCTCCTTTGAGTGCCTTCCTCTCGCCCTGCCACCCCAAGGAAGGGCCACACCATCCTCCTGCTAAGCCAAGGTGGCGAGACTAGAGGAAGATTTGCCTTCCCACAGGCTAAGCTTCAGCCAGCAGCTCCCTTGTGGGTTCTTAAGCTCCTTGGAGAGCAGCCAGCCATAACTTTGCTCCAATGGCCTTGGGCAAGGGCTGGGGAAGGAAGCCAAACCCAGTGTTTATTTGGAATGTTGTAAATGTGCAGGGGCCACCAGGCAGGTGCCTTTTGCTCTGAAAACCACCCCTGAGCACCCGGGAAACTGGCCCAGGTGTGGCCAGATCGGCAGTGGGGGCTGGGTACAGTGGCGGTGCGCGCCCGTCTCAAGGGCCTCGCTGCCCCTGGGAGCCCTACGCACATCTCACGAGTGTCCCCACTGCCCTCCCCTCTTCTTTCTGCCCTGCAGAGTGGAGAAGCATCTTTGTTTGAGGTGAACATCCGGTACATCGGAGGACTCCTCTCAGCCTTCTACCTGACAGGGGAGGAGGTGAGTTGGCACTTCCAGGCTCCTGGACCATCAGGCTGCGAAGGGCTTGGGAGAACATCCCCTCCCACCCCCTCATTTCACCAATGAGGAAACAGGGATCCAAGAGGATTTGCCCAGGGCCACCCATGTCCCGCACCTCCATGGTGCCACCTGCAGCCTCTTTTGCCTCTTCTATCTGATGCTTCTATTCTCCTGCCCAGGTGAGCCCAGCTGGCTCCCCCATGTGGTAGTAAGTTCTCTAAGCACAACGACTGGGACTGCTCACCGCCCATGTAGCTCCTTGCAGCGCGTGCAGCAATACCTGGGCCCGGTGTGGGCTTGCGGAGCTGCTGGCTGCTTATTGCAGGTGTTCATTCTCAGGACTGAAGAAGCCGAAAGCGCTGTTTCACCCTTTCCACTCAGGGACCCCTTGGCCTTGTTCTGCACTCCACAGCCTCCCCTTGCCCTCCCTCTCTGGGCCAGACACGAGCTCCAGGTCTTAGGGGCGGGCAGCCGGGGAGACGGGGCAGCCACAAGTTGTAAGTACCAGGCCTCTGCCCAGGTACGCTGCACTGGCTTCCAGAAGGAAGGCCGTGGGCACAGTCAGAAAACCTGGGCCTTGTTCTCACACCACGCCTGCCTGTGGCCTTCAGCAAGTCTCTTCTCCCATCCCTGGGCCTCGCTTCCTTCCCCACTATGGGGACGGTCCTAATCCCCCATTGGCTTAAAAAAATCTTGTGAAATGGGGCAGGAGAAAAGGGGCTTGGCCCCAGGGCTACACTGAGAGAGAATCTCCACAGCCACAGAGTCCAGTGCGAGTGGGAGGCTTCCTCATCCCCAGTGAGCACCGGTGTAAGCACAGCCCGTGTCTGCCGGTGAGGTCAGTCGAGTCCCCGGGACATTGGTCAGCTGCGTTTCCCATTCTGTAAGGTCTGCTACTCAGTGTGACCCCTGCCCTGGGGCTGGACCCCTCGGCCTGGGCCTTTCCTTTCCCGAAACTCCCACCTCTCTGCCCACCAGAGGTGAACAATCATGCCTGACGGGGCGGGGGGTGGGGGGAGTTGGTGCGTGGAGATGAGGCTGACGAGCGGCACTAAGGTCCTGCTCCAGCTCTACAACTGTTGTCTGGAGTCAGTTTCCCTTCCCTTCAGGTCAGGGGTGCCCAATCTTTTGGCATCTCTGGGCCACACGGGAAGAATTGTCATGGGCCACACATTATAAATACATTGCGACGTGCAATCACAAACAAATCTCATAATGTGTTAAGTAAACTTACAATTTTGTGTTGGGCCACATTCATAGCCATCCTGGCCTGCATGCGGCCCTCAGACCGAGGCACATGGGCTCAAGTCTGAGTTTAGAGGCAACCAGTGTGCGCTTTATCCCTCTAGTCTCTTTAGGTCTCTCCCTACCGAGCATAATCTCCTCAGCAGAGATTACTACTCATACCAATTTGTCCCCAAATAATTGGAGATGAGAGCCCACTGCTTTGAGCCACCCAAGGCCTGAATTTCATTTGAAGATCCCAGGACAGAAAATTCCATATGGAGCAGAAAAAGGCATTCATATTCTTCATGGGCACTTGCCCGCCTCCCGTCTAGGTCGAGGAAGGCGGAGGCGGCTGCAGGGAAGGGGAGGCAGCGATACACGGGGCTTACAGGGGTTGGTGCAGGGCCAGGGGCCAGGATGGAGCTGGCGCTCCGCAGACCTGCATGTCCCTGACCCTCCTCTGAGGTGTCTGTGATCTGAGAACTTGTTCTGAGACTCAGCTCCCTAGAAGGGACCATCTGCCTGGCTTTTAAGGACGCAGATCAGACAGTAGGCTGTGTATAGGAGCACGTATGACTTAGAAATAGTTCAAAAGGGCCAAAGAGAGACCCAGACGGCTCAGAATCCCTGAGCAGACAGGCCCCTGGGGTTATTGGGGCAGCCCCTGCCCTCCAGTCACGCCTTCATTGTCCCTGTCTGTCCCCAGCACCTCCACATGGCAGAAAGATGGGGCAAGTGCACCATACCTGCAGTCCCTCAAATACACCGTGAAGTGGTGTTTCACCGATTCGTAGGTGCAGAATCTGAGACTTAGAAGTCACTTGCTCACGGCGCAGTCTCTGTGGGCTGTTTTGGGTCGGTGCATGATCCTGTGGCCCCTCTGCCACGGGCCCTCGTCCAGCCTGGCCCAGGGTCACCCTCCTCTCCGTCCTTGATCTGGCACACAGTGGGTGCCTGTGGAGTGAGTCTTTCTTAAAATTTCCCACAAATATTTGTGGAATGAATGGCGAAGGAGACCCCACTTCCCTTCCAGGGCTGAGGCCTTTCTTTGTTTCAGTGAGAGCCTGTGAGAACAGAATCCCCTGCTGAGTAGCCAGCCCTACCAAGGCTCCCATGAGAATCACAAGCACAGCCACAGCCACACAGGTGACGTTGGCACAGCAGTTTACAGTTTATATAGCCATTCACTTACACATATCCTCCCCTTTGATTTCTAGAAGAACTCTGTGAGGCAGCCAGGGCACATGTCACCACCCCATTATGCAGATGGGGCTCAGAGGTTGTACCCGGCTTACCCAAGGGCACGTAGCTGCCAGGTGGGGAGATCTGAGCCTGGGCTCTCACTCCCAGTCCAGCACCTGCTTCCCTCTGCAGAATGTAATTCTTGCTGCTTTCTTTCATCTCTGTCCTGGGGCCAGTAGGCTACTGCCCATCACTTACCATGGCTCTCTGAGGCCTTTCTGTGTTAGAAAGGCAGCTGGGTGCCCTGGAAAAGAGCCACTTAATAGCTCCACACCTTGGGCAGATTGCCTTGCTGTGACTCAGTTTAGTCCTTCTCAAAGTGGGTCAATACCTTCCCCACAAGATTTTTGGAAGGATCGAATGAAGGTCAGGTAGATAAGACACCTGCCACACTGTGATATTGTGATTTATAATAAGCATACGTGTTTGGTCTTCATCCTGTTTCTGGCAGCGTTCCTAAAACCATTGGAATTTTCTAAGTGATGACAATGGTAAAAGTGTCTTTTATTATGTTCTTGAGGTGACTTTTGGACCCCACCTCAGACGGGGGCTGGTCGCCAGGAGAAATAGTCATGTGGTAAGAGCATTGGCACTTTCTGTCCCAGCCCCTGGCCTGTGAGGAGGGGAAAGGGGCTGGAGGATAAGTCAGTAGCCAGCGGCCAGTGATTTCATCAATCCTGCCTCTGTATGAAGCCTCCATAGAAACCCCGAAAGCTGCTGGCGTGTGAGCAGGTGGAGATTTGGGGAGACTGGCACACTCAGAGAGCGTGGAAGCTCCACGTCCTTTCCCCATTCCTTGCCCTATGTATCTCTTCTATCTGGCTATTCCTGTTATATTCTTTTATAATAAACCGGTAGTTCAGTAAGTAAAATGTTTCTCTGTGTTCTGGGAGCTGCTCTAGCAAATTAATGAAACCCAAGGAAGGGTTGGTGGGAATCTCTTACTTGTAGCCTCTCAGTCAGAAGCACAGGTAACAACTTGCACTTTAATGGGCGGCTGAAGCACGGGAGGGAGCAGCGTCGTAGGACTGACCCCTTAACCTGTGGAGTCTGATGCTGTCCTCATTAGATAGTGTCAGAGTTGAGTTGAAGTCTTAGACATGGAGCTGGTGTCTGAATTGCTTGGTGGTGTGGGGGAACTTCCACACACTTCCACACACATGCGGGAATTGGGGTCAGAACCCCTTACACACCCGCTGACATCCAGGATGACAAGGAGGATCAGTGTCCCACTCTTAACGGTCCCACTCTTGTCCACACACACTCGCTCATCTTCTTCCCCGGGGTGGTTGAGACCCACATAGCAGCCGGCAGCAAGGCCTTCCACAGGAGAAGACGTGGTGCGCTGGCCAAGGAGAGCATTTAAGGAGAGTTAGCTCGGAGTCCACAGGGCACAGGGCAGCCACACAGCAGCCTGGAGCTTCAGCCTTGGGTCCAAGTTCCTGTGGGTCCCTTTGCAACTCTGGCTCAGCCTCCTTAGGAATCAGTGAAGATATTGGGAGCCTCCAATGAGAGTTCTTAGTTGTTGCTAAACCACTGGCTTCTGGGGTGTCAGGGGGACTTTGGAATCTGGATTCTGGTCAAGCTCCCCAGGAATCCTGACATAGCTGGCCCCGTGCCCACTTCTGGGACCTGCTTTCTGGCACTGACATCATCACCTTCGCTTGCCCATCACTGTGGGCCCCATGGGGTTCTTCCCCTCCTTTGCTTTCCCTCCCCGCCCCCTTCCTAAGCAAAGCAGGGACCGCACCCCCCCATCAGAGGTCTCTAGTCCACTTCCCACGTAGTGTTTGAAAACACCCCCTCACTGCATTCCCTAAACAGCTGCCTCAGCATTATTAAATTGCATGTGTTGGGGATGGGGGACCTCAAAATGACTTTGTTTTGCAGCTACACACAGGACAGCAGCAAACTGGGTCACCCTCAAGCTCCAGAAGTAGAAGGAAACATGTGTTGTCCCAACAGGAGCCATTGCTTAGGGATTTGCATCTCATCTTTTAAAAGATAAATGACATTTAATGCGGGTTTGTTTCTATTATAAAAATAGCACAGAAAATAGAGATAAGCCAAAAGAAGAAAATAAAAATCTTCCATGAGACTGTTGTTAATATTTTGGTATATTCCACCCTTCCCCGATGCATCTATATGTATATAATTTTTACAAAAGTTGACTTACACTATTTTGACATATTTTTCTCTTAATACATTATAAACCCTTTCTTTGCTATTAAATATTCTTCTACAACATTATTTCAGTGGCTGCATGGTGTTCCGTCACATGGATAAGCCAACATTTAACCACTCCCCTATTGTTTGCTATTTAGAATACTTCCACTTTCCCCCCACTATTCTAAGCAGTGCTGGAATAAATAGCCATAAGGTTAAATCCTTACAATATCCTTGATTATTTACTTCCTTAGAATACACTCGCATGAGGGAAACTGCTGAGTCGGAAGGACACAGGTGCTTTTGAATTAATCAGAAGACAGTCTGCCAGGCCGGGCCGGGGGCCTGGGGCCTCCCTGTGGCCCCGCTGCTTGCCGTCCTGCGGGTGGCTGAGGGCAAGCCCTTCCCCTTCTCCTATTCCCGTCTGCAAAATGAAAAGGGCAGGCAGAAAGGGCGAAAGGCCCTTCCCTGGCTTACAAATGGGAAAGTGTTGCCCAAGGCGAGCCATGGTTTGCTGAGAGGCACACAGCTGTGGGGCTGAGGGACAAGGACTGGAACTGAGTGGTGGCCCGGGCTCCAGCCCACAGCTCTTTATATTCTTTACAAATGTGTTTCCCGTGAGCTCAGCCTGTGACATGCTGGTCCCACGGGGTGGACAGGCATGGACCCTTGGTGACCACTGCCCTGGCTGCTTCATCTTCCTAATGGTCACCCAAATCACAATTATAATCACTGAGACTTCGTCCGAGTCCTGACACCGTGTAAGTGCTTTACAGGTATGACCTAATTTTTATTCTTCCTCACACCCTCTGAGGAAGGCAATTTTGTCATTGTTTTATGACCAAGGAAACTGAGGCTCAGAGAGAGGTGCCTCGCCTCAGACCACAGAGCCGGGCGTTTACGGAGCCAGGCTCACATCCAGGCCTGCCCCCCCGCAGGGCCACTTCCGCTCTGGTCCAGCGCCGTCACTGGGCTTATCCGCCAGCCGCGGCTTCTTGCAGTGGCCGCGCCCCACGCAGCCCAGATTCACAACACCCTTTCACCCTTCCAGGTGTTCCGCATAAAGGCCATCAAGCTGGGAGAGAAGCTGCTGCCGGCCTTCAACACCCCCACGGGGATCCCAAAAGGTGTCGTGAACTTCAAAAGGTAGGACACCTTCTGTTTCCCACTTGCGGCTTTGTCTGCATCTGCATGGAAACTGAGGCACAGGGAGAGGACTCACAGCCAGTCAGTGGCACAGTGGAAACTGGCCCTCACCAAGGGCTCTCCTGAGCTGGTGTTTATCACCAAACCTGATCCTTGGGCTTTGGGGCACACAAGTCCTGACCTTCCGGGGGCAGCGAGAGGCAGCTGCTCCTCTGTGATTGTCCCACAGTCCTGCCTTGACCCAGGGCCCTCCAGGCACCGCGCACCCCCCAGCTGCGGTCAGGGGCCAGTGAGGTGCACCGTACCCTCTTGCCTCAAGAAAGCGCCCAAAGTTGCTGAGGAGACCCCTGGTCTGCTGACCCCTGCACTCTGGGCTGGGTCTCAGAAGCCCAGTGTCAAAACACAGAGGGGACCGGGAGTGTCACGCCCACGGAGGCACAGACTCCGAGGAATAAAGTATGCAACTGGCTGAGGTCACATATGCCAGGAACTGATTGTCCCAAGACATGAATCCAAGAGTTCCAACTCCATTTCTAACAATATTTATTGGAATTTTCCCCTCTATAAAAATTAATAAATTCTCATTGCAGAACATGCAGATTATACCAAAAATGTTGGATAAGACTAAAAAGTCACATGGGATTTCACTAATGAAAGAATCCATTGGTGGTGTTTCTTTCTCCTGGCTCTGTTTTAAAACACTGATTTTTATTAGTCGCTCGCATCATTCCCCATCCTGATCTGTTGCTTGATTCAGCACGTGAACTAGAATCTGCCAGCGCAGTCAGGAAGTCACGGAGCCAGAGAAGGGTGGGGCCGGCGCTGCAGCTGGGGCCAGCTCACCTGTCCCCTCAGCGCTTCCCTCCCCTGGGGTGGAAGTGTATTTATATCCACCCATTTTCCAGCTGTGTCAGCTGAGGCCCAGAGAAGGGAAGGGACGGAGTCAAAGTCAAGAAAACAAGTGGCCCAGCCAGCTTTAACATAATTGGGAAGCATGAATCTTGTTCCTGGACACCCCAAAGATGCCCCCTCTCTTACCTTCCCTCATTCTGTTCCTTCACTGGATTGCCCATCACTCACAACTTCCCTGGCCATCAAAGCCCTGGTCAGATGCTGCCTTTGTCATTAAGCCATAAGCATCTTTGCCTCTCCCAGCCTCCTGGCAGCTTATCTCCTTTCTCATGGCACTTGTCACCTTCATCTTCATTTTCCCTCCCCTACCCCACCCCGGGAGCTTCTCAAGGACAAGATCCATGTCCAATTCCTTGTTCCTTCAACAAATATTCCTGCTAGACAGTGTGTGTGGGATAAAAGATCAACAGTGACATTGTTCCTGCCATTCATTGAGCAATTTTACTACGTGCCTAGCATTATGCTAAGGTTTTCCATACATTGCCTCGCCCAACTTACTGCTCACAGCAATCCTTTGAGGGTAAGGATTTATATTATCCCCATTATTAAAATAGAGCCTCAGAGAGATGAAGTAACTTGCCCAAGATCTCATAGCTAATTGACAATGAGGCTAAGATTTAAACCCATTTTGTTATGATCAATTGGAAAGCTCTGCTCTTACGGCCCGCCCGCAGACAGGAACCCTGCTGCCCCTGAGCTGTATGGAGTGGACCCTGGGGGGGACCTTGTGGAAGGCACTCAGCTCTCCGGGGCCACCCTCAAGCCTCGAGGCCATTCTATTACACCAGACCTGGGAGGAAGCCTATAATATTTCCACCACACCAGACCTCCCCATTCCACCTTCTAAAGTGATTTCTCATCTCGGGATTCGCAATCCAGCAAGAGGTTCAGCCAGCTGCCTAGGAGGGAAGGAGGACACTGGAGAGGAGGTGGGGGCCCTCAGCTCCCTCTCTGTCCTGGGGTGGTCCCACCCTCCTGTCAGCCTGCATCGTTTCCCCTCTTGGGCCTTGCAGAGAGGACTTGGCATCTTCATGTACTGTCCTGCGCTCAGAAAGCATTCTTGGGGTGTGACCTCACATATCCCACGTAAATTTCTGAGGGCCAGGGAAGGGCCCTCGGGGCTGATCGAATCCCATTCTCAGCGCCAGGGTTGACCCCTCAGAACTGGACACTTGGATTTATGCTCAGATTACTTTTCCACAAAAACCAACTCTAAAGAAACAGGACTAGCTGACACGGAGCCAAGACTCAAACACGCTGTCTTCCCAGCTTCCTCTCAAGAGTCCAGCTTCCAGGGCCTCCCTCCCTGGGTCTGGGATAGGATCCTGGCTCGGGTACCCCTCCTTCTTCTGTGAGTGGCACTTGGAGTCCTACAAACCACAGCCCTGGCTGTCTGCGCTGCCTGTGTCCCACAGAGCCAGACCTGATCAGCACAGAGCCTACCATTTCTAATTAAGAAAGCACATTTATTTGGGGGCTGTTTGTATGCTGCCAGTGCAGGACACACATGCATGCATGTGCTGATTTCCTGGCAACGCCCTCTTCCATTTTCTGGGTAGGACTCCATTGCTAAAAGTGCCTCCCTGTTCCCCAGGGCACGCGTCAGGGATGTACGCCGCCCCGTGGCACTGACTCTGCTCTTTGGAGGGCTGCTGGGGAAGCGTGGCCACACACCGCGGCCCCTCTTCTGGGTGGGGCTGGCTGTGGGCCCCAGCAGGAGGGGCAGCTAGGCCCTGCCCAGAACTGCCGGTCAGGAGGCCCTTGAGGGGCGGTGGTCACCGAGTGAGCTTGACTGCTCACCCACCCTGATGGGAGGCAGCGACAAGGGCAGCCATGACCTGTGACCTGCAGGGACCGCAGGGCTATCTGGGAGAGAGGTGGTGGCCAGTCCAAGGACCTGTGCAGCTGACTCACTCACTCTTACACACACATTACTCTATGGCTACCCACCCAGATCATAAAGGCTCAGACCTCTCCTTTGTCACACACGCTCTCACAGCCATACATATATGCTCACACACACCAGTGTACATTTACACACGCACGCACACAGTGATGGACACATCTTAGTAACTGCTACCGTTTATGGAGTGTCCACTGGGTTCCAGGCCCGATGTGAGCACAGTGGATTCTCCCTTTTCAATCTCACAGCAACCACATGGATCCCACTTTACCACGGAAGACACTGAGGCTCAGAGAGGTGAGGCATCTAACTCAAGGTCACACAGCAGCAAAGTGAAGTTACAGTCAGAATCCAGGTCTGGCTCCAAAGTTAACGATTACACCATACACAGGAGTCCCCACACAAGCGCGTGCACACACAGAAGCTTCTGCCAGGCTGGGGAGGGGTGTTGTGGAGCAACGCCTCCCACCACTGGGAGCGCAGGCTGCTAGCCCACCTGCAGGCTCCAAAGCCTGGGAGGGGAGTGGAGGGCGGAGCTGCCATTAGCTCCCTGCCTCCCAGGGCTGACCAGAGGACCCTCCAGTCTCTGGATGCTGCCCAGAGGAGAGGCATTTGAGATTTGGCTTTAGATTCAGCTCTACCAGCAATATCACTTACTGTGCGGCCTTGGAGAAAGTGTCTTCCCCTCTCTGAGCCTCAGTATCTCCACCTATGACATAAGGATTATGGGATCTATCCTGCAAAGTTGGATGTGAAGTTAAAATAAGATACCACAGCTGCCTGGCACATACCAGGAACTTAATAACTCTAACAAACAACACATAATTTTGCATGTGCATAATTACATAATGGTAAAATGCCAGTAATTGCATGCATAAATTATACGTCACAATGACTTTATGAGGTGTAGGCACTATCATTTAATAGATGAGGAAACCGAGATCTAGAGAAATGAACCCACCTGCCTGAGGTCACCTGGGGGGTGAGCATTTGAAGCCGGGCAGGAGAAAGGGAAGGCACCCGCCCGCAGCCCGTCTGCCAGGGCAGCTCCATTGCAGAAAGGCTCACTTAGGAGGGTGAGCGTTGGATGCCGGAGGAGAGGAAGGAGAAGTCATGTGGGGGAAAATGAGAACAAAAGATGCTGGGAGGCTGGTGGCTTTGCTTGTACCTTGAATTTTTCTGCAAGGGCAGGAAGCATCGATTTTTCAGGTAACCCTCTGCCCACTGAGATCACAAACTGGAAAGAGAGAAGCCTCTCTTGGGAAGAGGGACAGAGTGGGGACAGCTTCCCCTTTCCTCTGGGTGGATGTAGGGCCATCTGGGTGGGAGACCCCCCTAGGGAAGCACCCTGCAGACCTCAGATTGAATCCCACCTCCACCACCTATGGAAGTGACCTTCGAAAACTCACTCCCCTCTCTGGGCTTCACTTTCCTCCTTTGTGTATTAGAATTAATGATGCCTTACCTCATGGGCTTTAGAGGAAATAATGATGCAAACAGCCTTCCCTAGCACCTGCCATCTGTAGCAGCTCAATGAACAGAAGCAGTTTTATTTATTATCCAGAAGCCAAGTGTCCCCTCTCTATGGAACCCATCCCTCTCCCACCCGTCCCCTGCCCCCAAGTCAGGGAATACCCAAGGAAGTAGACAGGAAGAAGGGGCTAGTGGTCTCCTCTGTGTTCAGTGAGGTCACCTGCCCCCAAAGATCCCAAAACATGAGTCCTCTGATTGTTTCTGGAAGCTGGGAGACGTGAGTTCCCCGACTTTCCCAGAAATGACAGGTAGGCGGAGGATGGGGTTTAGAAAGGAGAAGGGCAGCCTCTAGAACCCCAACCCCGCCCCAGGAAAAGCAGTGCCCCTCAGGTGGCAAACGGTGACCTGCCACACCCACACCTGCCGTCCTGGGTCCTATCCCTGGGAGGCAGAGGGACAGACAGGGGCCGTTCCTGGGGAGCCAGAGCTATCACAGCAAGGAAGCCAAGGGGCTTCCCCCTAGCCTGCCCCATGCTAACTGCATCCTGGAGTCCCTACAAATGGGGGGCTCACTCTGCCCTACTCTGTCCCTGCCCCTTGTCCCCTACAATCTCTTGCAGAAAGAGGTTGACCCCTGCCCCACCCCAAGTTGCCCTAAATGCCCCGCAGGAGAGATCATCATGGTACATAGGAGGAAACTGAGGCACAGGGAGAGAACGCAGCTTGCCCAAGGCCACCTCCCTTCTGCACCTTCCTCTTCTCTCTTAATCCCCACAAAAGCCCTAGAACCGAGACTGGCAGATATTGCCCTGCATAGTTTGTCAGGTGCAGAAACTAAAATACAAAGGAGCAATGGTTTGCCCAAGACCTCTCAGCTAACACACTTGAACCTATGCTCCTGGCTGCAAACCCCAGAGAGATTTCAAGTGAAAACACCTGGAAAAGCAATGCACCCTGCTTTTTCTTATATAATCAAAAGCATGGCGGTTACGTGGCTAGGACATCAGACCAGCATCGGGTCCCAGCTGCTCCACGTGCTGTGTGATCTTAGGCAGGTGATGTTGCTATCCTTTGCCCTGTTTTCCTCATCTGTAAAAGCGACAGATGGGAGGGTTACCTGAGTGAGGCCCTGCCTCTCTGTGCTCTCCCTCTATTACGCAAGGAGCCAAGGTCCGAGGGACGCGTATTACTTGCTGATTCCAAAGAAAGGACCCGGAGGACTGACTGTGAAAGACCTGAGTTTATTAGGCCTGCCGTGAGCACAGGGGCAGCCTGCCGGTGAAGTCTCCGCCACACAGGCCTCCCCAGCACAGGGTCATCCGGCACACAGAAAACAAAGCACGCTGCGTACAGGGCAGTGTGTTCGCTCACGCAAGCTGTGTGAGATGAAAACGCCAGCTATTTACCATCCCAGGCCCACATCCGAGAACAGTTTTGGTTTTTTTTTTTTCATTATTCTCTGACCAAGGAGGTGGCCAGGCTCCCAAAGTCCCACAGCAACTTACAGATGGCCTTCATTATATTCCCACGGGGTGGGGGGGTGGGGGTGGGGGTGGGGAGCTGGCGCGAGGGAAGGGGCCCGTGTTCTCACATACGACCCATCCTCCTTGAAAGCGCCCAGTATGTGAAGTTGTTACTCATAGCCTTGTCCAGTGAGATGGCAGGATGCTAAAAATCCCTAATTTACTTTATCTAAGGTGTTTTTCAGAAGTGCATGGTTAACTGGTGCAGAAATCTTTGCTCCAAAAGCCTGCGATTCTCTTATTCCTAACCTCAGCTTCCCCAAGGCTTGGCAGCTCCAAGTGTGTGGTTGTATCAGAGCTGCCTGCCTGTCAGGTGTGGGTTCCATGCAACACGAAGAGGCGGCTACTGTGTGTCCTTGGGCAGCGTGGGCAGTGAGGGGAGAGGGAAAGGGCCAGGCGCGGTCCCTGCTGTTCATCTGCCCCAGTTCAGACCCTCTGTCCACATGCAGCGCCATTTACTGTGAGCAGTTGGGTTGCCTTCAGCCACAGGATGGAGACAAAGTGTCTGTGAGGCCTTTAGGGTTCCTGACAGCATGATCCATATCACCTGTAAATTTAGCAAAGCACCTGTGCCATGTCTTGGCCACCAAGACAGCTCTGTTATCGTCCTTCTCCAGCCCACACGTCTTACAGGGGCAAAGAATATTGCAAGCCAGAAAGGCCTGGATTTGCCCTGACCAGTGTGGTTCAGTTGGTTGTGCATCGTCCCAGAAAGTGAAAGGTCACCGGTTCAATTCCAGGCAGGGCACATGCCTGGGTTTCAGGTTCAGTCCCTGGTCAGGGCGCGTACGAGATGCAACCAATCAATGTATCTCTCTCACATCAATGTTTCTCTCCCTCTCTTTCTCCCTCCCTTTTCCTCTCTTTAAAAAGAAATTAAGAAAGAAAGGTCTCATCAACCTCCGTATCTTCAACAGGCAAAATGGGGCTATTATTACTAGTACAGACCCCCAGGGAGGATTAACTGAGATTATGTGACGAAAGCTCCTAGGACAGTGCCTGGCATAGAGTGGATGCTCCCCTGCTAAGCAGAGGAGCCAGCTGGAGGCAGAGGGGTGATGGTGGCTGCTTCTGTCTCTTCAGTGGCTCCAACCGGAGCTGGGGCTGGTCCACGGCCGGCAGCAGCAGCATCCTGGCAGAGTTTGGATCCCTGCACTTGGAGTTCCTACACCTCACCGAGCTCTCTGGCAATCCGGTCTTCGCTGAAAAGGCAAGTCTTCTCCCTGCTCCCTTCCGAAACAGCTCCTGCGACTCCTCCCCACAGAGAGCAGAAGGATGGGCACTCAGCCCCTCACAGGCCATGGGAAAGTGGCTCACGGATCAGCAGGAGGGCGTGTGGAGAGCCCAGAAGCCCCACTAGTCGTTACTTGAGGAAGATCTGATTGTACCCAATCCCATGTACCCAATCCCAGGTGGCAGGGAAGGCGAGCGCGGGGAGTAATCAGAATCCTGCAGAGGGCAGGGAAGAGACAAAGCTGCCTGGGAGAGGGTTCTCACTGGCACGTGTCAGCTCACTGGCAACCACACATGTGTGAATCTGCAGAAGATTCAGCAGCTGAAATCTAAGCACCAGTTCGCATTGGCAGGAATGGGCCACCCGGTGCAAAAGTCCCCTTTCCAGAGACATTTAACTTTTCCATGTGAAGTCTGCCTGGCTTTTCCCCCCAGGTGCCGTCTAGCTCAAGCTGTCAGCAGGCTGGCAGAGCGGCTTGACTCCGCAGCAGAGGCGCGCGCCTGTTCCTCCTCACTGCTGGCGGGCTGGCCAAGGCCCCGAGGGAGGCTGAGAGACAGCATCCAGGCTGCCGTCCACTCTGGCAGCTGCCCACTCCTCTGTGAGGCCCTCCAGAAGGAGCAGTTTCTCCATGTCACAGCCTGGGCAGTCCCACTGTCTGGAAGTATCTCTGTGGGTCTAACCCTAACCCCAAAGAAGAGAAGCGCGCACAGCTCCCTCAGATGGCCCTCAGGCTCCATCAGCAGTTGTCCCTTCCTTAGTCCTGCCTAGGGAGAAGAAGTCCTGCCCTCCAAGAAGAGCCCCACTCCCAAAGCTTCCTTTTCTCCCTAATGATTAGCCTCCAGGGATGCCAGGGGGCTGGGAGCTCTTAGATCCACACTCTACCCAGGAGCTCCCAGTCCCATGTCTGCCAACCAGCCTCAGCGTCACCCGGTGCACCTGTGAGGAAACAGATCTCTGGGCTTTGTCACGGGCCCAGGAATCTGCATTTTAATCAGCACTCATGTGCTTTTTGACCCCAGGTTTAAGATGACTGCTTATTCAGTGTGGGGCTCCGCCCACCTGTTCTTGAGGAAATGCTCAAGAAGGGGGGTTCAAGCCCTTGATCATTTCCTCTGCATTGGGGTTCACTCCCGCCCTTAAACAGCCCATCACTTTGTCACACCTTATATGAGGAGGACTCTGCCTCCCTGTGACGCCGCACCTTGAAAGTTCATGCAATAAGTTTAATACCACCTCCCGGTGATCCTTTTTTCCCTCCTCCAGCCTCCCATTTTCATTCCTCTTGAGTCAATGCCTCCAGGAAGATTGTGGCTGGCTCAGAAAAGAGGGACAGGAGCTCACTCTCGTCCCTGGCCGGTGCGGCGAGAACAGCTCCCACTGCCTGACGACCCGCTGGGCACCTTAAAGTGTCTCTAACCTTCCCAAGTAGCTGCAGGAGTTAGGTCTTCCTGTCATTTCCATTTTACAGAGGAGGAAACTGAGGCTCAGAGGTTAAGTCACTTGTCCTGGATCATCCATCTGCTAAGTGATAAAGCCAGGATTCAAATCCAGGACTTTTTGTTTGTAAGCCCACGCTCTTTCAGGAGCAGATGAGTACAGCAGGCTTCAGGCTCTTTCTCTCGCGTCCGCCGCCTCTCAGTTTCTCTGCCTCTCTCTACATCCTCCAGCTATTTTCATCCCCCAGTCATGCCTCCCACAGAGGCAATTATTGGCAGTCAACAAATTGGCCCAAATTCTAGAATCGCCCGCACCCTCTGGGGGAGCTCATTTAGCCCGCTTCACTGCTCACCACCAGGACAGTCGAGAATAAGTCAGGTACAAGCACATTCCTGTCCCCCATAATGGACTGCGTTAACTTAAATGGATATGAAATCTGATGTGGCAAAGCGAATGCTGTCCCCAGGAAAGAAAGGTCTGACAGCTGAAAGGCTGCTTTCCCTGCTCCTTACCTTGTAGATAAATCTGTGAGCATGATACAGTATGGTCCCTGAGGGCCTTTTTCTCCTGGCAGATTCTGTGCTGGGAGGATTTCATGTATTGCCCGAGCGCACACCCTGAGCAATAAAGCTGTCTCACTTTTAGAGCCCAAAGCCCCTTGCCCTTGGTGTCCCCAAAGGTTGCGCATCTGGCTTCCTCTTGCTTAGGTGGGGCAGCCTCTGCTACACGTTGCTGCCCGGTCCCCACCCTGGTCCATGTTGGCCCCAGGCGCTGTGCCATGTGGTCAGACAAAACCTGACTCATGTCCTGGCCCTGCCACTTACACACTGGGTAACCATGGGCAAGTCACTGAACCTCCCGAAGGTTCAGGTGCCTTCTCTGTTAAACGGAGATTACAATACCATATAGGTAGTTCTAATGGTTGGAAATAATGTATAGAACAGGTCTGGCTCAGAGGAACTGGGAAATGTTAACAGCTGTTGTTATTAAAACCCTGAAGTGCCTATGAGGGCACAGGGCTATTGAGGAGCCCAGGCCTCTCCTCTGGAATGGTTCCTACAGCGTCAGAAAAAAATCATGTATTACAGTTGCCCTGGCCGGTGTGGCTCAGTGGATTGAGCACCAGCCTGCGAACCAAGGGGTCACTGGTTCGATTCCCAGTCAGGGCACATGCCTGGGTTGCAAGCCAGGTCCCCAGTAGGGGACATGTGAGAGGCAACCACACACCGATGTTCCTCTCCCTTTCTCCCTCCCTCCCTTCCCCTCTCTCTAAAAATAAATAAATACAAATCTTTTTAAAAAATAATTATAATAATGTATTACCAGATTGAACTATATGAAATTGCCAATATTTGACCATTTCTGACCTATTAAAAAGGCAGCTTTACCTTGCACTTACAAAACAGCTAGTATGCCTTATATGAACCTCCCCTCCTAAAAAGACCCTCCCGCCAAAAAGCAACACACAATGAGGAAGGAGTGAGGTGAGAGTGGGGGTGGGGGTAGGGGACCTTGCAGACCCCAGGCAGAGTGGTCAGTGCAGAGACCCCACTGTGGCCCTGTCCTGCCGCACCTGCACATGGGCACGAGGTCAAGCCCATCCCAGCAGCGCCGGGTGGGAGCCTGCTGCTGGCTACGCAGCGCTCCCTGCCTCGTGGATGGCTCCTCTGGATCTGAGCCAGCTGCCTCAGTCCTCAGTGGGCGGGAAGTAGGCTGGCTTCTTTGGATAAGTGAAGGTGTCCCTGGTGTTCATCTCTCGGCAGGTCAGGCACATCCGGAAGGTCCTCAGGAAGATTGATAAGCCATTTGGCCTCTACCCCAACTTCATCAGTCCAGTGAGCGGGAACTGGATGCAACGTGAGTACAGAGGTGCCGCTGTCCCTCCAGCGGGCTCCCGCCAGCGTCCCTGTGTGGCCCCGTGCTAGGCGCACGTTAGTGAGTCACCTGCGCGGTGCTCCTGCTGGGTGGCTTGGGGAGTTTTCATTATGGTTGTCATCGCTGTGGTGACGGATGTGATGGTCCAGCAGGGCCCTGCCCTGTGGGCCCCGCTCACGGTAGCTCTGTGCAGCCCCCATCAGGGTTACCGCTCTCTGTCTCTGTGGTGCCTGCTGCAGCCTCCTCCATCATTCCCGACCCTTCCAGGAGTGTCCCAGGTAGAACAGCGTCCTCCGGAAATGACCCCAAGAGAGGCCATGTGTCCTCTCCTAGCCCCTTTGATCTGGTTCCCCACCTCCAGCTTTAGATTAAAAAAAAAAATTTAAGCAGAACTTAACTAATACAGCAATATAAAAACCATGATGAATTCACTGCTGCATCTGATACCTGCAAAAATCAGTCCCAGGATTTCCTGGCATTTTCTGTTCAGAGGCTTATTTCTCAACCAGATGGTCTTTGGTCACCTGGTCACCTGTGGAGCCTCATTCACAGCCCCCAGCTTCACCCACTGAAATAGAACAGGGTTCGCGGGGACGCTCAGGTGGGAGAGTGTTGAAAAGTCTCCCAGACTCCTGGCATTGCACCCCCATTGGGAAGCCCTGCTCCACCTTGCCCTCCTGACCAAGGCCCTGGTCATGTGGTCATAGCACAAACTGGTCACAGCAAGTTCCATGGGTCCTGCTCTAGGGGCTCCCCAGAGCCCCCGCCTCCCTGCCTCTGCCCAAACAAAGGCCCTGTCCCTCCCCCACCCCTCTCACCCCAGCTGTTACGGCATCTGCGAGGGCACAGGGGCAAAGCAGACATGGATCTAACTACTGCATGGCTGCGGGAGTTCATTTTATCTCTGAGCCTTGGTTTCCTCTCCTGCAAAATGGGAGAAGAACTCAAGATATGTTCTTTGTGTATCGTGGAGGGTGTGGAGTAACTGTCAAAAGTTGCAGGAAACAGGTTCCAGTTCATCTGCCAGAGATGGGCCGTCCCAAAAAGGAAAGGGCGCCCGTCCATGGAAGTCAGCCGGCAGGGCCTGGCAGGGATGCTGTGGAGGCGGCAGAGGCCTTGTCCTTCCAAGCCGAGCCTCCAGGATCCGCAGGTCCAGGGGGCCCAGAAAGTTCGACCCAGGACTTTTCCCTGGTGACAACCTCACTCCCAAGGGGCCTCCTACAAAAACCGCGTATAGAAATGCAAAGTATTTTTAACCAAACATGCTGCCAAATCCAAAAATGCGGGGAGAAAATGAAGGTTTGAATTACAGGTTATGGCCACGGAAAGAGACAGTTCAATAACTGTTACAGCTTTTAATTGCAAGGCCTGACTGGGCCGAGAGAGAAACCATGCTGCTGCTGGCCTTAGCCGCTTCAGGACAGTGCAGCAAAACCCATAAAAAGCAGAGGGGTGTGGCTTCCCAGCCCGAACAGCTACCTTGGCAAATTACAGGGGAGCCCCCACCGAGAAGCGTAATTTTCTTTCAGTCTTCACCAGGGGTCATGGGGCTGGGCAAAGTCAGTCACATATGAAATATTGTTTCACATTAATAAAATATGAATCTGCAGCCTGCTAAAGAGCAGAGGAGGGTTACAAAGCCGGGCTCATCTGGTCATCTACTGTCCGCCTTCCCGAGCTTTTGCGCCTGGGAGTATCTCAGGTTTACTGTGGTTTCCTTGGGGTGGGGGGGGGGGGGGCGGTGTGTGTGTGTCTGTGTGTGTGTGTGTGTGTGTGTGTGTGTGTGTGTGTGTCTGTCCGTCCCCAGAAGATAATGTTCTCAACTTGCATGAGCTCAGGGTATTCACATTCTTCCCTCTCCTTGAATCCTCTGTTTAGCCCATTTACATCCACAGAAATTGCAGCTCAGAGAGGCGAAGGAGGAAGTGGGGCTGCTCTTGCCTGCTCCCCCCTCCTGCTTGAAGCTGAGCTTCAGGGCAGCAGGGGAGACCAAGACCTCCCGCCACTAGGACCCCAGCCGGGAGAAGGTCACCAGGCTCCTGCTGGCACCAAGCATGGATGAGAGCTCAGAGGGCTGCCTGCCCTTCAGCTTGGCCCCTGGAGAGACTTGTCCTCATTGTCCATGGCCTCAATCCCGCTCTTTCCTCAGTGGGAAGAAAGTGGCAGGTCTAGGTTCTTCCACATGGGAACATGAGCTGCCCATCTGCCCAGCAGCCTCCCCCAGTTCCTGCTACTTTTCTGTGAGCTGATTCCAGGCTGGCGGGGTGGCCGCCTCCTGCCGCCACGTGTGATGAGTTTCAGCACTGGCAGGACGCAGCCGAACCCATCTCCACTTGAAAGCCCACGGACACCAGCTCATGCCCCCCTTAAAAGCGTTCCACATCAGAAGACGGAGGGCCCACGGGGGAAATGGCTCTCCCCGAGACGGCCCGCCCGTCTTCCGATTCCCTGCCATGCCCCTCCCAGTAAGACACACCAGGTTGGGCCGACACCGCAGACACACGCAGTAGCTAGGGAGCAGTGGGGCCTCCAGATGGGAATTGTCCACTCAGTCAAGCTCCCCTGAGAGACTGTACACACGCCCCCAGGATGGTGTCACGTCTCAGGCGCCTGTGCAACTCCCGGTGACCTGGCTCCCCTCTCCTGCACACACCTGCCAGGGGAAGCCCTCGGCCACATCACACATACACACACACACTCTAAAATCATAGGATGAAGTCCAAGCTCTTTGGCTTGGCGTTCGAGGCCCTTTCCAGCTTGGCTCGAACCTACCTTCCTTTCACTCACTCAGGGTGCCTGCTGTGCACCATAAAGGTACTGGACATAAATGTGAATCCCTCACAGCCTCTTTCTACTAAGAGCCCACAGCCTAGTCGGGGAGGCAGACCCACAAACAGATCCTTGCGCAGCGTCGGGCACGCACCCAGCGGTGGGAGCATGGCCACCACTGAGCCCCTCCTTCGCAAAGCACACGTCAGGCACAGCGTGTGCCTTCCCTCACTCACTCCTCGTGGGCCCCCTGGGGGACGGGTTGTGAGCAGGCCCATGAGAACACTGGGGAAAGCCTTTGTGAGGAGCAGATGCCTGCGCCACATGTAGCAGAGAGGAAGCGTGAGCCACGCAGGGTGGGGAAGTCTTCCCTGGTGGAGGGTGGAGAGGTGGTCCCAGGTGAGAGAGAACCATGGGGAGGCTGTGGGCCAGGAATGCGTGGGGTGGCAGACAAAACAGTGAGGGGAGGCAGGGCCAGGAGGTGAGCATGGAGATGACCGGCCGTGAGCTGTCAGCGGGCACTAGGCGGATGCTGGCTCAGCTAGACCACCACGCTTCCCGCCACGCCTGCTCTGCCCAGACTGCCTGCTCCACCATGGACACGCCGTCAGCGTGCTGGGCCCGGCTCAGCCGCGCCCCTCCCTTTGTGTTGGTCCAAGCAATGCCCTCCATGCAGGAATGGGGGCGGGCAATGGGTACACTGTGCTGGTTCTCGCTTCCCTCTTCACCGGCAAAGTCCACCCACACTGACCTCCTCCCACTCCTCCCCAAGGCTCAGGCTTTATCCGGTCTGTTCCAATCTTTGCAAGTGCTTGTTCCATTCCTAAAACCTTGCTGGCCAGGATTTGTTCAGAGAGGCATCCAGAAGGGCTGGTTTACTGAGGGGGCCTCCTCTCAGCCCCCTTTCTCCATCCCCATCTGTCTTTATCCTCGACTTCTGGTCCTTCTCTCTTTGCACTTGTCCTTTCTCTATGCATCTTCGGTTTCCATCTCTGACTGACTGAAAAGCTGCAGAAAGGGAGAGCTCTACCAGGGCGGGGGCCTTGCGTGAGCTATATAGGCTCGCTCTCATTTTTCCCATCTGGGAAATGGCATTGATAGTGCTCACCTTGCAAGGGTCTTGGGAAGATTGTTATAAATAAGACAATAAAGCTCCCAGAGGACCCAGTAAATGGTAGCCGTTGGTGTATTCTCTATTTCTTTCTCCTTCCCCCACTCTCTACCCATTTTCCCTCTCTTTCTACCCTCTTTTTGCAAAGGAGCTGAAAATATTCTTCCCACTGCCCCCACCCTACCTTAAATCCCCCCTCCCTTTTCCCCTTCCTCTGTCTCTCTGTTTAAGCAAATCATAACAGGGAACTGACATTTGTTTTTTGCTGTGTCGTTAAATGTCTTCATGTTCCCCTGTTGTTAATTTTTAAAGCACATGAGTGTTTTCCGCGACTCGCTTCTGTAACTAAGCGCTCACTGGTCAACCCGTCTCTCTCCTGGGACAGCCCTGGGTGGAAACACCTCCTCATTCCACCACAACCTGGAGGTCCTGCTCTGTGGGGACTCGGGGCATATGCCACCCTGCAGAGAGGGGTCCTCAAACTCAAACCCTGCTCCCCTGAACTCCATGTACCCCAATTTACTAAATTTATATTTTTTAAGATTTTACTTATTTTTAGAGAGGGTGAGGGAGGGAGAGAGGGAGAAACATCAATGTGTGGTTCCCTCTCTAGCACCCCCTACTGGGGACCTGGCCCGCAACCCAGGCACGTGCCCTGACTGGGAATTGAACTAAAAACCCTTTGGTTCACAGGCCAGCACTCAGTCCACTGAGGCACACCAGCCAGAGCCCAATTTGATAAATCTGAACCGAGTTTTTCCAGAATGGCTCAGTACTCTGACCAACTAAATTAAGCCTCTCCTTCTTCCTTTTCATGGCCTTTTATGAACCTGCCCAGCATCAATTACCATGTTTGTCACCAGGCAATAAAAGTCTCTGAACTCGCTGCCACCAGATTATCTTTTTAAAGAAATGCAACTCATTTACAGTTAATAACTAGAGGCCCTGCCATCCTCAGCCTGCTAAAGCGACATGATTTATAGCACCTGGATGAGCCCACACACCTCTGTGCAGGGCCACTGCACTCAAGATGGCCCTAGCTCTGCCAAGTGTCAGGCCGTGCCTTTCTCTCAGCCTCTGTTCCAGGCTTGGTGGCTGCTGATTAAACGCTCGCTCCCCACCCGCACACAGCACCGGGGCCATCGAGGCCAAGTGGGCAGGCGGCGTGCTCCGTTAGTCCTGCCAGCGGCCTCGGCAGATGGAGATAATGTTCTGTCCTCTTTCCCTTCACAGACCACGTCTCAGTTGGAGGACTCGGGGACAGTTTTTATGAATATTTGATCAAATCCTGGTTGATGTCGGCCAAGACAGATATAGAGGCTAAAGAGATGTACTATGAAGCCTTGAAGGTAAGACAGGCACTTGCTTCTTCATGGACAGTGGGTCGGTCATTTGCCACCAGTGCCCACACAGGCCCCTGAGTGCCACAGCCCCGTCTGCCCCTCCCCCCAGCGAGTGGGCCAGAAGAATGACAAGACAGTTCCCTCCCCAGTCAGTCACTCTGCATACCCAGTCTCATAAGTCTTCTCGAACACCTCGAAATTAGGATCATGTTAGCCCTTGTTTCACAGATATAAAACCCAAGCCTAAGGAGGCGAAGTCATTTGTCTGAGGTCTCACAGGAAGCGGCAGGCAGTCTGATTCAGAAACCACGGCATCTGTGCTTCAGTTAGCGTGTCAGAGCCCAGGATGCAGCCAGGCGGTGGGCTGGGAGCCCCCACGGGAGGCTGCCAAAGCAAGACCCCCAGCCAGCTTCCTGCCGAGCCAGAGGTGACGATTAGTACACCCAAGCTGGGAGGGGCCTCCGTCAGTGGAGCACCCAGTTCTGTTCCTTCTCTTTATGTGGATGGAAACCAGGGCCCAGAGAGGGGGAAGCACTTGCTCAAAGCCACACAGCACAGAACTGACAGAGCTGAAGCTAGAGAAAGGTCTCCTGGCTCTGGGTAGATGAAGAGAAGGCTGAATGGATCGATGGCTGGGTGGGTAGGTGGACATGGGCGGGTGGATGGTGTGGGCGGTTGGCTGGATGGGCAAATGATCCCGCACTACCCTCTGACCACATGAATCTAGCCAGCAATATCAGTGCTTAAAGGAGCACATTGAAACAGGCCTCCAGGGCTGTGGGCTCTTTAAACTGTGGGCTCAGTAATGAGCTTTTCCTGCCCAGCTCCCTGGCACCAATATCTCAGTCACAGAGCAGCTTGTGGGGCTCAGCCCCGTCCACCCCAAGCTTCTGCAGCTGAGCATAGCCCGCAACCGGTGTCCCCTGTCAGATTAGCGTTCAGCCGGTGGCCCGGTGTGCTGTCTGGAGAGGCCACGGCCCTTTCTGACAGACGTCCCTTGCAAAATAAACATCAAGTTAATGAGCAGCCTAGTCCCCTGCCCTAAGGGCACACTGTAGCTGCCGCTCCAAGGGAAGAGAGGACTATGAATTATTTAAGCAAACCTGCAGCTTTATGGAAACACTTGATTGAACAGGAGACAACTGGCTTTGCTCCTATTTGATCTCCCCAGTGAAAAGCCTGCCGTGTCTCTGACCCTGTGTAAGGGCTGAGCCTGTGGCAGGTTTGGGGCTTTGAAGAATGTTCTGGCAGTTCTCAGCCTTGTGGGCATGTTAAAAGTCACATGCTAAAAATCCCAAAGGCCAGCCTGCACCCCAACAAGGTTACCTCAGAACCCCTGGGGTGGGGCCCAAGCAACGGCCTGGAGAGCTCCGGTGGGCAGGTCAGACCACCGCGGGGCCTCGGACAGGCACCGGGCAACGCCTGGGGGTCTTGGGAGAAAGGATAAGAAGGACAGGAAGCTTCTGTCCCTCTGGCCTCCTCCGGGCAGGCACCCTTCGTGCCTTGTTTTATTTAGCCCCCATCTTACAGGCGATGAAACTGAGGCTCAGAAAGGCCCAGGGTCACACAGCAACAAAGGTCAGAGCCAGGGCACGACCGTGGCCTGACCACTCCTGCCTCTGCTCACCAGCCACCAAGTCGCAGGAGCCTGGCTTGCCCATCGTCCCTCTCGGGAGGGAGCCGATGGGGTGGGGTCCCATCCAGGAGGCAAAGGAAGCCAGAGTCTCGGAACAGCCTCACGACGCCCCTGGAAATAGTCTCATTTTACAGATGACGAAAGGCAGTCTTCAGAAAAGTGAAATAAGTTGCCCAAAGTCCCCTAACTCTCAAATTGCAGAGCTGGGGTTGAAGCCTCTGCCTCTCAGCTCTTTTCTATGTCTCTTGCCATGATTTAAGCCTTTTTTAACCAGCCCACAGCCAGCCTATGCTCTCTTGTGTTTTGCTCAGCGTTTCAGAAGCCTTGGTTTTTAGGGGTTTTTGTTATTTTGTTTATCTTTGCATCTGCTATATCAGTTGTCTCTTCAAAGAGAGACTGTTTTATCATTTCCACTTTACCAAAACTATTTAGCTTGAGGTGAGCCCCAAGTAGAATAGAAATAACCTATGGGAGACAGTCTTGAAGATGAAGATTTTCAGCTGCAGTGGGAAGCTTCCAAAGAGTCCCCCATTCCCAAGTGTTGACTATGGGTAACTGCACCAGGTTTCTGCGCCCTGGACTGAGCCTGCATCTGCACACTCAGTGATGCAGAGCAACCGCCCAAACCCAGCTCCGCCTGGGCACTAGGGCTCAGCCCAGAGCAGGCCCAGCCCAGCAGCGGTCCGGTCCGCCCTCCACGTGAGCAGGCACCCCGGCTGGCCGTCCTCAGAACTACCCCCTCTGCTGCTCAGTAAGGGTCCTGCAGCCAGCCTGCCCGCCCAGGCCTTACAGGAGAAAGAAAAGGAAAAAAACACGCAAGGAGCACATTTTGTTTGAGCACCTGCCATGGGCCAGGCCCTGGCTGGAGATCACAGGTAGTGGCTTCTGCTGTCACACGGCACAGAGAGTCCTGGGAGAGAGACATGTTGCCCAGAAATATACACAAATACATAAACACAAAGTGGGAAGAGCGCCACATAGAAAGAACACAAGGGAGGAGAATCGTGGGCAGCACCAGTGCAGATGAGGCTGTCCTCTCCTCCTTGGACATCCCTGCAGGCGCCCAGGGGCTGAGCCGGAGTTAGCAGAGCGGAAGCAGGAGCTGGGCAAAGCCCCTAGGTGGGAACCGTCCTGAGCTTCACGGACATCGCCATGGCAGAGACCTTCTCTGACCTCAGTGCAAAGTGGGACCCCTTCCCCAAGCTTTTCTCTGACTCATCCCCTCAATTTGTTTCATTCAAAATACTGATCAACAAAAATCGGTGTGTCCAATTTTGTTGGGAGGTGTCTGTGCCCACAGGCACTCTCCCTATGGTAGGGTCCAGGCCCGTCTTCGGGGGCTGTATGCCCTGCCCCCAGCACAGCACAGGCCTCATGGAGGGGCTCACAAAGGGTTCAGTGAGGGGAGATTGCATGAATGAAGAGGCTGGTGTGGCTGGACAGAGACGGAGGAGGGAGGCACAGAGGGCAAACGGGGGCAGTATTGTAACAGGCAGCATTTACTGAGAGCTCTCTCTGTGCTGAGAAATCGGCTCAGGTCTCCAGACATATCTCATGTCATCCTCATGACACTGCGAAGTGGTTTGTGCTCTTATCCCCATTTTACACATGGGGAAGTCAAGGCACAGAGGGACCATAGAACCCACCCAAAGTCACGCAGCTTGAAACCAGTGGAGATGGGGTTTCAGCCCAATGTGTCTGCACCTGAGCGCCATGTCTGTGGTGTCAGGTTAAGCCTCAGGCTGCAGGTCAGGGAGTCTCGGAGAGCCCGCTGGACTTCACCTGGAGGCACTGGGAAACCACGGAAGGATGTTAAACAGGCACGAGGCACAGTCAGATTGTTGTCTGCAGAGTGCAGAGGCCCCTGGGAGGACAGCGCGGAGGGGCGAGACCTGCGCTGGACCAGGACCCGCAGGCGGGTCCACCGAGCCCAGCCTGTCAGCTATGTGGGCAGCTGCCGCCATCCCCCTCCCCCCATTTCCAGGGCAACCAGGACCACCAGCAGGCAGTGGCAGGCACGACGGCCTAACGCCTATACCCCCAACTTCTGGCAGTCTTCACCCACAGCGTCACCCCACACGGGAGCAGAGGAGGGCTCTCAAAGCCCATTGCCACCAAAAGGAGCAGCCATCGGGTAGTGAACGAAGTGGTGCTTGGGCATCTGGGGGCCCTTGTCCTCATCCTGGTACAGCTGGCTGACCTGGGACAAGCCCCTTGACGTCTGTCTGTAGAGAGTACTGCAGCCCATGTACCCGGCTTGTCATGGGCATTAAATGAGAAAGTGTGTGACAAGGGCCCATAGAAAGCAGCTCTTCATTTTCTATGGGTCCTTTTTGAGAATCTCGTCCCATGAAAATGCAGACACACAAAAGTAGCTTGTACAATTTTAGGGGCGTCCATGGGCCAATGGGGCTTCAGGCTACAATTCCCTAACAAAGAATATAATGGAGGAGGAGGATTTTTAAAGATTTTTTTCAAATTTTTTGTCTGTAGGAGATTTAAAAGTCTGTGTAAGAGATTTGCCCTGGGGAGCTACCTTAAGCCCCCAGCCGGCACCAGGGCCCAGCTGGGCGAGAGACTGAACCCCTGACCGGCCCCGTCCAGGCCGGCCGCCGGCTGAGGTCAGCCGGCCTCCTTTGCCCGGGATGGAGGGCTCGGCAGAGCTGCGTTGGCTACTGTCTCCAAAGTATTCATTTTCTGTCCTCTCCCCTCCCTTCTCTGTACCTCCCATACCCCCTCTCCCTGCCAATTCCCACCTTGCTCCCAGGCACTAGAGACCCACTTGCTGAATGTGTCTCCCGGGGGGCTGACCTACTTTGCTGAGTGGCGTGGGGGGATTCTGGACCACAAGATGGGGCACCTGGCCTGTTTCTCCGGGGGCATGATCGCCCTCGGCGCTGAGGACGCCGAGGAGGAAAAGAGGGCCCACTACCGAGAGCTCGCAGCCCAGATCACTAAGACGTGCCACGAGTCGTATGACCGCTCAGGTAACCCTGCAAGGGGATGGGGCGGCAGGAAAGACTGAGGCTAGATACCAGGAAGAACTGGAAAGTCCACAGAGTGGCAGTGAGTGAAGGGAACACATGGTCTTAGGGAAGTCTCACCTTCTGCAGTTATGCAGAATTTGAACAAAGGATGTGCTATCTATGCGGTGATATTGAACACTAACTTGAAGGGAAAATTGGGATGAGGTACTAAGCCCTTTGTGTGTGCCAGGTGTTTGTCCAGCACTTGACATACATTGTCACTGAACCTGACAACCCAGATGAGGAAGCTGAGGCTCAGAGACGAGTTGGCCGAGGTCCCATGTGTGGGGCGCAGAGAAGAGGGCCCTCCAGCCCCTGAGGCAGAAACACTGGCTTCCTGGGCCGAGCAGACTTTTTCTCCCTGACTCCCTACCCCCAAACGTGCCTCTGCTTTTCCTCCCCAGAGCCCCTCCATTTGCCCGCTTTGATCCAAGACCACCAGGAAGCCTGAGAGCTTCTTGACCATCCGCTCAGCACTCACGCGGAATTGTCAAAAGCTAGAGTCAGAAGTCATGTTAGAGAACAGGAACCCAAATCCTCATTTTGCACATGGGGAAACTGAGTCAGTCCGGAGCCAAAGTTGCACCGCTGAGTGGCTAAGCTGGGGCCCGGCTCCTGGTCTTCTGATGCTCAGCTCCACCCCGAGAGCTGCCTCTGAACAGCAGCCCTCAGAACAATCCCTGCCCCCCAAAGGCCCAGGAGGTGCCCATTACTCTGAGTTTAATCCCAGTTTTGGTTGGAGGAGAGGACCCAAGATTTGCAGTAAAAATTTCTGGTTCAAGTGCTACTCTGCCACTCACCATCTAGGTGGCCTCTGTTTATTCATCAGCTCAATGAGAACAATAACATAGGCCTCCAGGATCAGCACAGGGTCCCACAGAAAGCGCGTTGCCAGCCGCCTTCAGCCAACAGGACGAGAGGCGTTTGTCAGTGGTCCGCCAAATGCGTCTGTGACCGCTGCAGTTAATCCCGGTCTCCTGGGGCTGTACAGAAAGCCAGCAATTCACAATGGGTCCCTAAAACTGCTCTTCAATTCCCTTCAAAGAGCTCTCTCTGCTGGCACCATAAACAAATAGGAAATCTCAGGAATAATAAAAAGCTTGCTATTTGTCGGGAACAATCAGCCCAGACCGTAAAAGACAGTCCGCCTAATAGAGCACATTGTTCCAGCCAGCCCGGCTCGTCCATGGACGGCTGCAGTGGTCGCTCTTGCCCTCACCCCATTAGCAGCTTGGCAAGATGACTGTTCTCTGACAGCAAGAGTGGCTGCACCATTTGAGAGGATCAGAAGGGACCGGGTCTGGCTAATTCCTCCTCCAGGAAGCCCTCCCCAGAAGAGTAGGACATCCTGCAAAACCTGAGTCTTGAGGAAAAGCAACCCAGGGCCTCTCAGGTCCTGAACCCTAATAGGAGAAGGAAGAACTCACAATAGGACCAGGACTGAGCCCTCAGCCACCCTGGACAGGATGTGCCAGCAGAGAGTCCTCAGAAGGGAAAGGGGACCCCGCCCAGGGAAGGCACGAGAGGACGCGCGGGTCACATACCAGCTCAGCCACAGCCCCCGTGTGTTCCCCTGGACAAATTACTTAGCTTCTCTGACCCTCAGTTTCCACCTGCGCGGTAGAAGGATAATAACATCTCCCTTATCAAAACAACAACAACAAAAACGCACATTTCTTTAAGGATTGAAATAATGTATGTAAAGTTCCCAGTACAGTTTCCGAAACCACAAACGGTGGCTGTGGTGGTGGTTGTATAACTGCGGTCATCCAAAAAACAGGTCTGGCAGTAAATTGTCCAAAAACAAACACGACAACAGCAGCAAAACCCAGGCCTCCCCCGCCTTCCTCCTCAGTCAGCCCTCCGCCTGAGAAGGTGTGGTCTGAGCAGGCCCTCCCCTCACCGCCATGTCAACAGCCCCCCAAAGCGGCAGCTCCAGGGGGGTGATAAAAGGGTCCCCTGAGGTCTGTGGGGGAGCTCCACTGCACTTTAGCACATTAAAGGCTCTGATAAGCCCTGCAGGAGTTCCCTGTGTTTAACCCACTGTTCTCCAACTGTGTTTGAACCTGGAGCCCTGTCTTGGCTGAGCTCCGGTTAACATCTCGCAGCGCTAATGTCTCAAAATACACAGTTAGGAAACGCAGTCAAGGAAGTTCATTTGGATTCTCAGGTTCTAAAACTGCAAAATGTTTGAGGCCTCAAGGGTCTTGCTTTGGCCAGCCTGGGCCAAGAGGGGAACTGTATTTCTGGCAGGCTCAGCCTCCCCAGGCAGTCGAGGCAGGGCCCACCCGCCATCATCACCAGCCATTGCCCCCAGACCCACCCAGGGCCCCCGGATCCTGAGAAGCAGGGGGGCGGTCTGACCCAGGCCCTCCGGTTGGTCATTCTGCAGATACCAAACTGGGGCCCGAGGCCTTCTGGTTTAACTCCGGCAGAGAGGCGGTGTCCACGCAGCTGAGCGAGAGCTACTACATCCTGAGACCCGAGGTGGTGGAGAGCTACATGTACTTATGGCGGCAGACCCACAACCCTGTCTACAGGGAGTGGGGCTGGGAAGTGGTGACGGTGAGCGGGCCGGGCTGGGCAGGGGGTGGGGAGGCTTGAGCAGGTGGCAGGTGCCCCTGAGGAGTCCCAGCCAGGGTCCAGAACCCCCTAGCTCAGGCACTGCGAGGAAGGTCAAGCCAGGTTGACATCGGGCTAACGTTCAGAAGGCAAAGGGTCAAGGTTGTGGCTGTAGAGCCAGGAGCCCCCAGCCGGGCAGAATCAAGCCAGGAACTTGAGGGGAGCGTTCTGAGACCTGCAGTCTTGGGAGCCTGGCCCTGGTGCCAGCAAACTCAGAGGGGCCAAGGCAGGGCAGCAGCCAAAGGGGGCCCAGAGTGCATGTGGCCGCTGCTTTTGACCCTGAAGCCTGGACCAAATCGTGAGGTTTCTCCTCTCAAACAGGAACAGCTGCCAGGCCAGCAGCTCACGGACCTCCTCACCCCAGAGCCAGCCCAGCCCCAGGCAACCCCCAACCCTCTCCGGGATTGCTTGGGGCTGGGCTCTTAGCCCTCTAGTAGCCCCCTTGTTCCCAGCTACCTAGCGGGAATCTCATGCCCACTTTGGGGTAGGTGCGAAAGGCAGGTTTGGGAACTCCAGAAGGTTCCTTGACGTATGCTGAGCCTTCTCTGTCCTTCCCCCTACCTTCCCCAACGCCCTGATCTCAAGGGCATGTGCTCTCCAGAGTCGGGGGTGGGGGGGCACAGGGCCCGCTCAGGTTCATTGTTGTGGTTCACTGACCAGTCTCCTCTTCCCTGAGGCCTGGTTCTTGGCCACTGAAGGCCAAGCAGTTTGTGCTCCTGGGTCCCATCTGAAAACTCAGTGGGTTAAAAAAAAAAATGCATTGCTATAGAAAAGGCAGACAGCCGTAGCTCACCTCACTCTGCTCCAGGGACCACATCTCCATAGGGAGTCCCGATCCCAGCCCACACACATCGCCAGTAGCTTCCTCTGTCCCTCCCTGTGGGCAAGTCTGTCATCGGTCTATCCTCTGAGAAGCAAAGAGAAGATTCCGCTAAGCTCACACTAGGTGGAGAACTCAGGGTGCAGCCCACTGGGACCAAGCTCTCGGCCGCAGCCCCTCCAGCCTGGTGCTAAACCTTGAGCATAACTAGGCCTTAGGAGTCTCCAACCGAGGGGCCCAGGACCCACCTTTTGGTGAGCTCTGGCCTGCTGAGCAAGCATGAGTCTCGGGGGACCTCTCCTCTCCCCACGCCAAGGCTGCTTTCCTTTTGTTCAGGCCTTGGAGAAATACTGTCGGACAGAAGCCGGTTTCTCTGGCATCCAAGATGTGTACAGCAGCATCCCCAGCCACGACAACAAGCAGCAGACCTTCTTTCTAGCGGAGACCCTCAAGTGAGTTGGGGCTCGGTCAGCGTTCTTTCCAATGGACAGCGTGGCTTTTCTTAGGGAGGGCGGAGGGGTCAGCAGTTTGTCCCTCCACCAGAGTCAGGGTCTGCAGTCACAGGACGGGGGCCTAAGAGGGAAGGAGGGTTGGGATCCAGAGTGTGACACCTCTGGGGTGAGCCTTGGGCCAGGCTGGTTTCTCAGAGAGTGAGACTGGGTTGGACTCCACCCGCTGAAGTATTAGCTATGTGGTAAGTTCAGTTCTGTGACCTGTCTCCTCACGTCACTTAGATTCTATGAAATTATGCCCTCTTCTGTAAAATGAGAATGACGATGCCAGTGTCAATACTGGTCACTGCTGGTAACTGTCCCTCTGCAGCGTTGCTGTGCTGTTCCCTCATTTCCTTCCCATTCCCCTGAGCAGCCCCCTTCTGGATGAACAGGACCGGTCCTTCCCTTCCAGTAAACGCCCACATGGCTTGGGAAGCCGGGATCCTGGTGTCACCACTTCCTGTTCATTTTAGTGCCCCAACATCTCCTTTATAGAGTCTTCAGGTGGGCATGTAAAGGAGCAGCCCAAGAGTTTGGACTGGTGCAGTACTTGGGCACCCTGCAAAGAACGCAGAATCTAGGCCCTAAGGCGTCCTGGCAGGGGTCGCACACAGGGCCCGACAGGGAACGGGCCTGCCTGGAGCTGCTGGTGCAAGGGCTGGGGCAGAGCCAGGGTTAACCAGGCCTTTCTGCCCCAAAGCCCAGCGTTCTTCTCGGCGTCCACAGCATCTCCCCTGGGCCTAGCCTTCCAAGGGGACTTGGGGTCTCGGACTACCCTGCACCCATAGCCACAGGCCTGTTGCTGAGGCCCTGGAGATTTGTTCCTGGGGGTCCCTTGTTCCACATGGCACTGACAGGCTGCGCCTTGCTCCCGCCCCCCCACCTCGGGGCACAGGTATCTCTATCTTCTGTTCTCTGAAGACAACACACTCTCCCTGGAAGACTGGGTGTTCAACACGGAGGCCCACCCACTCCCCGTGAACCACTCGGACAGCGTCGGCGGGGCTGGGGACCAACTCTGACCCCCCCTCCCTGCCGCTCCCGAGGCACCACAGGGACTCCTCGCCTTTCCAGGTTTTGGGACTGTTCTCAAGAGGATTGGGAACATAGGCCCCGTTCCAGGCAGCTGTGCTGGACAAGCAACTTCTTTTCCTCTGTGAGGAGACAGGACTTGGAGACGCAGTGAAGTCACACCAGGCCCAGACATTCCTTTCTATGGACAATTTCTATGAAACCCACTCAGTTGCCATTCCAGGGCCAAGGGACTAGAGGTTTGCACATCGGCCCCATGTATTTGATTCACTTCCTTTCATTTTGGGGGTATTTTTGTTTTTGCTTGATTTTGCCTTTTCTCTACAGTTGTGTTATTATCACAGATTATAAATAGTTTTCAAAATCATGCTTTCAAAAACAATCACCTTGATAAACTAAACCTTAAAGTATTTGTACACATATAAAAACCTTGACCTTATTTTCTATATTTTAAATGCCTCTTGCCCAACATTCACTATATGTTCAACTATGTGTCATTTACCTTATAATTTGAGGAGTCCCCTTTGATTTGGGCCTAAGTGCTACGAATCACTAGTGCTATTTTCATTATTGTAATGGAGAAATCTGTAAACCTACAATAAAAGAATTTATTGAATAAGAAATATGATTGGGCTCATTGCACATCAGTGACTCCTGGGAAAACCATTGTAATGTTATCAGAATAATCAACCAGCAGTTGATTTAAGGCACAATTTAGTAAATGACTCCAACTTCTTTTACCTTTCCTTAAATAGTGCCTAATATATTCAGGAAGGGTGAGGCCAATCCTTTTAAAAGAGTTGGATATTTGTACTTATATCGAGGCTTGGAAGAGGCCCAGAGAGAGGCAGCAACTTACGTTGAGGTCACACAGCCAGTAAAGGCAGAGGTGAGCCCAGCCCCTGGGATTTGCTGACCACCCCGGTTCTGTGTTCATCTGTTCCCTCGTTCAGCAGACACTCGGTGAGTGCCTACAGGGCATCAGACACTGGGCTAGGTGCCAGAGACATGTGAGCGAGACAGTCATGTCCTGCCCTCAGGGAGCGTACAAGTCAAGGAGGGAGAAACAGACCATAAAGTAAACCAGCAGGTAAGTAACATGACTGCACATAACATGAAATGCTACAAAGGAGACCAACGGCCTGAAGTACTGCCAGCTAGACCTGTCTAAGAGGTCAAGGAGAACCTCGCCCTTCGACCAGGTAACCTTCAAGCTGAGACCCAGAATATAAGAAGGAGCAGTGAGACAAGCACGCCACCAATCCAGTCTCCCCTGTGGCCACCCCCTGCTTCCCTGTGAGGCCGCCTGAGCCGAGCCCAGTCCGCCCAGCAAGGAATCCAGGTCCCAAGAGCAAAGGGAGCACTTTTCCTCCTCTCGCCCCTCCCCCACTCTGCAGCGGGCCCACACAGCTTACTTCACAGGATAATTGTGAGTGAGCCCTTCCGCGGGCTTGGCCTCTTCCTTTTGGCTCTGTTATAAACTTGAGTAGCCCCTGGGGTGCTGGCGCCCTGGGCCAGGCGGCCTCACCGCTCTGCGCCCTCGTTCCCACACGTTCCTGTCAGAGTCAGAGGGACATCGCTGGTGCCCCTAGGGTGTGGGAAGTGCTTCTTTCTTGTTCTGAAGAGCAAGAACTCAGATGTTTCCGGCATGTTTCTTAAGCAGTAGTCAGAGCTATGGATGAACTCTCCCTGCAGCAGGAGTCCTGGATCTTGGTAAACAAGTCACTGCTGCCCAAATCCAGCACATTACTCACTCCCACTCCCGAGAGTACGGCTCTGGCGCCTCCCCGTGCCTATTAGAAAAGAAAGGAAAACAGCCCTGGCTGGTGTGGCTCCGTGGATAGAGCACCAGCCTGCAAACTAAAGGGCCGCAGGTTCGATTGCCAGTCAGGGCACCTGCCTGGGTGGTGGGCCAGGTCCCCAGTAGGGGATGCACAAGAGTCAACCACACATTGATGTTTCTCTCTTTCTCCCTGTCTTCCTCTCTGTGTAAAAATAAATAAATAAAATCTTAAAAAAGAAGAAGAAGAAGAAAGGAAAACAGAAACTCATTACACAAACATTGTAGAAAGGTTTGGAAATAAAGATAAACTTGAAGAAAAATCATTCACTGTCCAACCCTTCAGGATAAATATTGTGATATTTTCTTCTAGATCTTTCTCTATGAATACACAGAATTTATTTTTTGCAAATATGGTATTATACTATGCATCCTGTTTCATTATAATCTGCTTCTGCCCTGGACTATGTGTTATGAACATCTTCCCATGTCAACAAACGCGACACGTATCTCATTGCTCTTCCTGGTGCGTAGCATTCCATCGCATGCTGCATCGTGCTGTATGGGGCTAACCCCCTACTGCTGGGCATTTGGGTTTGTGTCAGTTGGGTTCTTAGCTACAAATAGAAACCAACTCTGTCTAAAGCAAAACTAATAATAATAATTTATTGAAATGCCTTGGGATGGCTCATGAAATCTCAAGGAAGTGAACAGCCAGACCTCAAGAAGGACTAGGACGGAAGAGTATTTGGCCAGGGATCCAGGCTGCAAGAACCAGGGGGCAGCCTCCTCAGGTACTACCACCAGGACAGGGGAGTCCACGTGTTTCCACATCCTGCTGTTTCCAGTCAAGGACACGAGTTTCCCAATTGGCCTTGTCATGACCAAGGGCGGGCGGGACATCGTGACTGGAGAAAAAAAATGAGGTTTGCTACCAAAATAACAGACCTGCCTGCTGGCTAGGCAAACACAGCAGGACTGTCTACAGGTTTTGCTTTGAGGTTTTTCAGTATCATAAAGACAGTTAGGGGAGTGCACTTGACCATTCCTCTTTCCCTCTTCTCCAACTCCTTAGAGTCAACTCCTGGAATATCTCCCTGCCGCAAAGTCACTTCAAAGTTCTCTGAAGCCCCAGGCTCCCCTGCTGGGCCCATGTCATTGTCCTCCTCTCCTCCCCAGCATCTTGTCTTCTGCTTGTTATCGCTGGGAGCAAGTTGTAAAAATGAATATTTTAAAATTCATCTTCCAGTAGGGCCCTTCGCAGATGAAGAAGTATCATTCTTTAGGCAACTTAACTCCAATCCAGGGATAAAAATAAGTAAGACCCAAGGTAGGCTGAGAGGAGAGAGGGATTCCAGGATGAGTCATCCTCAGTGAAGCAGCACCCAAGGCCAGGCAGCAGGCCTGGAGCAGACCCCTCCTTCCCAGCTGGGGTCGGCATGCTGCTGGGCTCATTTAGGCCTCATCTGTGTCCTCGCTGTGGACAGAACCGCCTTTAGCACCTGTTTTCTTCACAGAACAGCTTAATGCTGGTTCCTTCCCAGAAAGCTTTGCTAGCACCTGGCTCCAGGCACTGAGGCCTGCAGAGCATCCACCCCTGGAAAGAGGGAGACGCAGTCCTTTTCCAGATGTCTCCCTTTAAATGACTATGTGTTTGTTCAGACTGACTTCACGCTGGGTCTTTGGCAAGCTACAAAGTTCAAATGCCAAATGCATTGGAAAGAAAAGCAAAAACAGAAAATCTGATTTAAAGGTAGCCTCCCCGCGTTCTAAAATGTGATTCTCGGTTCTGTTGCCTTTGCTTTGGGGAGGTGACCATCTGTAGTTGAGAAGGTGCTGCAGATGGGACATGGGCCCACCCCCCACCCACCCCAGCTCACCCCCGGAGGTCTGTCCTTGAAAATATGTTCATTGATCATGTGACCTGAGATGCTCAGACCCCAGTGACTAATGCTTAATCATGCACTGCTGCGGGGAGAGGGGTGCTGACACTTCTCTTTTCTTTTTTGTATCAAAAAATATGTTTGGTTTCCTATATTTGGGACAATATTTTGTTCCCACTCAGCCTGTCTCTTAAATCAGAGCTTCATAATAAACTTGGATGTGCACCTGAACCACCTGGGGATCTTGTTGAAATGTAGGTTCACGTTCAGTAAGTCTGGTGTGGAGCCTATGATTCTGCGTTTCTAACAGCCTCCCAGGAGGTGCTAATGCTGCAGGTCCTTGGGCCACACTTTGAGTAGCGAGGCCTCAGTTAATGGCCACTCCTTTGGTTTCTGCGTCCCTGGAGCTGTAGCCTCTCCAAAGCAGAGAAGAGGGACTTAGGTGCTGGGATGGCATCTCTAGGTACCTTGTCTGCTGACCTCAAAACAGGTGTGCCTATTACCTGGGCCAGCAGCTGCCGCCTCTCAGGACAGCCAGGGTAAGAAAGGAGCAGGCCGGCAGGGGGCTTGGAACAGTGCTGTCCAGTAGACCTTTCTGCGCCATATCTGCCCTTGTTTTGTTTTGTTTAGATTTTATTTACTCATTTCTAGAGAGAGGGGGAGGGAGAGAGAGAGGCTGCCTCTCGCATGCCCGCAACTGGGGACTGGTCCATAGCCCAGGCATGTGCCCTGGCTGGAAATCAAACCAGCGACCTTTTGGTTCACAGGCCAGCACTCAACCCACTGAGTCACACCAGCCAGGGCGATCTGTGCTTTCCAATAGGGTAGCTACATGTGGATGTCAAGCACTTAAAATATGGCCGGTGTAACTGAGAAAGAAAATATTTGATTTTGCCTCATTTTAATTAAGTATAAATAACCACGTGTGGTCCCTGGTTGCTGTTTTTGACAATGCAGTCTTAGAACTTAGAAAGCCGGTCCCTGACTCCCTGATCCTCCGCCAACTACATCATTACAAAAGTAATCTTAACACACAACACATGTTGTTTGGGGAGTCAAGGATTCCCTTGAACATACCTGGTTATTTTTATACTCATCCAAGCCTCTGACTATTCTGCAAAAGCCTCTGGCTTTTATTTCGTTTTGTTTTGTTCTTATTCACTGTTTATCCACAGATCCCTGTTCATTAGGTCAGGTTGAAGACGAGAAAGGCAGAGTGGCAGGACAGACGAGGACATGTGCAGGTTGAAACCATGTGGACCTGTTCAGCTCTGCCCTGCCCTTTCCATGGGCTGTGTGACCGTGAGCAAGGCCCTTAACCTCTCTGAGCCTCTGTTTCTCCATCTGTGGAAGGGGAGGGTAATTTCAGCACTTAATTGAGCTCCCCAGGGTAGGAACTCAACACACATAGTGATGATTGTTATTATGTGAATGTTTTTTGTAAACTATAAAGCCTTGTGTAGATGTGAGGCAAAACACTGCTGTCAAATTTTTTTTTTTTTTTTAACAAAATGCTACAAAACTCGGAAAAACTGCATCAACCAGGCCCAGGAGACAGACCACACTCTCAAATTAATACATCTGAACATGTTATGCCTTTTGCATTGAGCAAGCATCTTGCCATTAGCCCTGATTCTGCGAAATTGGGAAATTGGGCTTCCAGGGGCCAGCGTGGCCCTGGTGATGCTCAGGCGGGGGTGGAAGATCCAAGGAATCTGGCAGAGAGGTGTCTCTGCCTTGGGGTGTTTGAGATTCAATTCATATTTCATCTTCACGGAGTCCAGAGTCCGGATGGATCCTGCAGGCAAAGGTTCACGGAGGAGGAAACCGAGGCCCAGACAGGCCTGCTCAGGTCTGGCAGCTGTTCTTGGCCTCCCGGCAGCTCTACGGAAGGGAAGTCCAGAGCTCAGGGGTCCCTAGAGCTGAGTCCCAAGGTTGACCCTTTTCCCAGAGGCTCCCTGACCTGAGTCATCTTGTAACCCCCCCCCCCCCCCCCCCCGCAACAACCTGCTGAGCTCTGAGAGCTACACCTTTCCCCAGCCCAGCAGCCTGTCTCTCCAGCCCTGGGCCCAGAGACCTGTGGCGTGTCTGTGTCTTTAAACAAAAGCAAGTGTAATAAATAAAAGTAATTTGGTAAAGAAAACTTCCCTCATTTATTTTCCAGGGGCCTTGGCTCATCAATCTTCCCCTCCTAACCTGCTTTGTGCTCTGTTAGCTTTGCTTCCTTCCTGATAGAATGGAATTAGTTTTTCTAATGGCATCTGCCATACGCTGAGTGTCCCCAAACATTAATGGTAATGAGGTAGAAGTGGCACAGTTGGAAGCCTTCGAAGACAACACCAGATGTCAGGCCCTCAGTGGGTGCTTCTGAGGATGTTGGGCCAGAGCACCCGGCAAGGGCTGGGTCCAGGACCCGCAACTTCTGGTCCCTGGGAGTCACTCATCCAAGACATTGGAGTGCCCCCCCATGCCTCGGTCCTGTGTGGGAGCTGGGGAGTCAAGGCCCTGCCTGCATGGTGCTGTCATAGCTGGTTACCCCGGAAGGACACAGGTGGCGGTAGAGGCAAGCCCCTGCCCCCACGCAGCCGGCTGGCTCATCCCCTAGCAGGCGAGCACCACAAGAGACTGGGCCTCAGATAGACCCAGGTGCGCGAACTCAGGCTTCTTAATTTTAAAACGAGGCAAATAGTCCTCACCTCACTGGGTGGCTGGAGAACAAAATGAGATCACGCTATGCACCCAACACCAAGCCCAGTGCACAGTGGGTGCTCAGGACCTGTTCAATCCCTCTGCCACCCCAGGCCCGACAGGTGCACAGGCAGTGTGGTGGCAGTGATGTCCAAGGACGGCGCTGCCGCTCGCCTGGGCTCAGGGTTCTTGCCCAGAGGCTTCAGTAGTTGCTGCCCTCTACTGGGAAAGTTCAGGCAGAGCCCCTCCTCCCGCCCCCTCCCCTGTCCGAGAGGGGTTCCCCGGGACCTTGATGTAACAACTCAGGGGAGCTCCTGTGGAATCCAGGGTCCTGGGGACTTGACAGACAGAAAAATGTTTCCTCACTCTCCACCCGCCTCCATTCCCTAGGTACCTCCCCAAGCCAAAAGGTGTTCTGCGGGAAAATCACACCTGTGGCGACGCCAGGCCCGGCGGCACAGCGGCAGCTCACAGCCCAGCCCCTGCAGGTGTGGCTTTCCCTCCTCAGCACATCCCGCAGAAGGGCTTCCTCACGCCTCCCTGCAGGCGAGGAAAGCTTGGCGCTGGCTGGCGAGGGTTTCAAGCCTGCACCACCTACCTGTGCATGCCTTGAACAGGTAGTTCTCCACCCCTGATAAATGTGCAGAGGTGGCCTTCCAGCTGGACCATGAAGGGAATAAACGTTAAACTTCGCAATTCTTCTTTTTCTAGCTGGCTGAAGACATTTTAGAAACAAATGGGATGCTGTGGAGAGTGGGGAGCCCGTCTGCTGCAGTTGGAGAGGCAGTGCCAGCAGAGGCAGACAAGAGGCCTGATGGCCCAAGACCCCACTCCCCAGGAAGCCCGGGGGTGTGCGGGTCCTTCCCGCCCTCCGCCCCAGCCCTTTCCTCCTCCGGGTCCTCAGCCTGGAATTGCCTCCGCCAGCCAGATGGGACGCAGGGGGCCTGGTTTCTGTTTGGAAACTGAAGTTCAGGAAGAGGCACCGAGATGGCAGGAAGGACGGGCCTGAGGATGGCAGGGGTGGCAGGGAGTCCTGGCATCTCTTTACTGACTCGCTCAGCACATGCTGACTCCACAATGTGTCCAGACACTGTGCCAGGCGGTGGAGGAGGCGCGCGGCCACGACACACGACCCCCCGGGGCCGCGGCCCCACAGCCCCGAGGCCGCCCCGCCCCTCCGCCCGGGCCGCCCCGCCCCGCCCCGCCGCCCGCTAGTCCGCTTCCCAGCCGCCCGGAGCCGCCGCCGAGCCGCAGCCATGGGCCGGGCCCGGCCGGGCGAGCGCGGGTCCCCCGGCTCCGGCCCCGCCGCGCCGCCCGCGCCGCCAGCGCCCTCGCCGCGCTGCGCTCGCGCCCTGGCGCTGCTCGGGGCCCTGATCGCCGCCGCCGCCGCGGCGGCCGCCGCCCGGGCCTACGCCCGCTACACCGAGGCCCAGGCGGCCGCGCGGCAGGTCCGGCCGGCGGGCCGTGGGCGTGGGGGACCGGAGACTCGGGGGACGGGGAACGCAGAGGGTCCGGGCCCCGGGAGGGGAGTGGCGGGGCGGGGCGGGGCAGGCCCGTGCGTCCGCTCGGAGGGTACGGTGCGGGGGATGGGGAGAGGGGAGTTGGGGTAGGGACGGGGAAGGGAGGGAGGCCTGGAGCGGGGCGGACCCGACGGGACCGGTGGTCTGGGGAGGACGGCGTGGAAGCGAAGGGAAAAGAGGGTACCAGGGTCGGGCAGCCTTGGAAGGACTGGTGGGGGAAGTGAGGCAGGGGCTGAGGCAAACTGCTGGGGGACGGTCCACAGGACGGGACGGCAGACAAGGCGCAGAGTGACGCCGGGCGCAGAGGATCTGGAAGCGGGGCTGGGGAGGCAAGAGAGGACAGTGGGTTTATAAACAGGGTGAAATGGGGATGGGGCCAGATGGAAGGGACTGGGCCAAGATGGGACAGACAGTGGGTGAGGCACGGGGTAAACAGCGGGCAGGGGAGGGGGACTGGGGCCCTGGGGCAGCGACAGTCGGACGGAAGGGCCAGGACGTGTCGAGAGAATTCAGGAGGATGGTATCCAACCGGTATTCACCTGGCCCCTTCCCCCCTGAGCAGGAGTCGGCGCTGAAGGCCCTGGGGACAGAAGGCCTCTTTCTCTTCTCCTCACTGGACACTGACCAGGACATGTACCTCAGCCCTGAGGAGTTCAGGCCCATCGCGGAGAAGCTGACAGGTACCAGGAGAAGCTGGGGAGGGAGCCCGGGCACTTCCCTCTGCTCCGGGCTGCTGTGCCTGCTCTGAGCCAGGGCCCCCAGAGTAGCAGGGAGATGGTGGGCCCTGGCAGGCAGCTCCCGTGCTTTCTAGCTGCTGGTTCGGGCAGGCTGCGTGAGCACACACACTGCAGTGGTACTCCTCAGGTGCGAAAGAATAATATGAGGTAACATTCCCTGGCCACTTCCTCAGGGCCGCCATCACTTTCAGCACTGTATGTGAGTTATCTCTTTGATCTTTGCAATGCCCCCTGGGACTGATACTGTTGTGATCCCTGTGTTTACAGCTTGGGAGACTGAGGCACAGGAAGGCTCGCTGACTTGCCCAATGCCAAGCTAGAAAGTGCAGAGCCAGGATCGTGTGGCCCCGGGTCCTGTCCCAGCTACCAGGTTTCAGGATTAGAGAAAGTAACTGCAAAGTGGCTGATAAGCAGTAGATAGTCAGTAGGAGCTATTCCGATTATTTTACTAAACGTTAAACCCTCTTAGGTGCTGTCAGGTTCCTATCCCATTGTCGCTATCCATTTTTGCCTAGCTGTCATCAGTGGTTGGTTTTTCTGTTGTGCCGCATAAAGATGAAGGTCTGAAACCACCTAATGAATTACAAAATGCTTCTCTCACCCCCTCCCCACCACCCCCAAACTCTGTGTCCATTTCTGGTGACATTTATTGAGCTTTGGACCGTGGGCCTTGGACTTTGGACCTTGTTACCCAAGTTGCCCAGTGTAAGTAGGTCAGTTGACAGGAAGGGCAGGGAGAGATGCCAGCTGCTCTCCAGTGAGTTCCCACCAAAGGCCCGGGATGGGTCGAGTAGGTCCATCACTTGCTGGCTGGTGACCTGTGGAGAGTCACAGGAAAAGTGCTCAGTTGCCGGTGCAGACGTGTGTCGGTGTCCGGGAGGCAGTCAGTTCCCTGGTGAAAGCAGCCAGGCGGGTAAAGAAGTCAGCCCGCGAGTGGGTTGGCTCCAACCCCCTAGTTTGGACACACTCCTCCGATCTTCCACACAGCCACCTCCTTGTCATTTTTTATGGCCGGTGAGCAGGAGTTCCCTCATAGTGACATTTTTAATGACATGTTGGCCAGGCTTGCTGGCCTTGGGGGCCTTTTTAATTTGTTTTTACAGAAATCTTTTCTCCATTGGGAAAGTAACCCTGCTGTTCCCTACCTCTGAGGCCACTGTGAATGCAAAACTGGGCCAGGTTTGGGGAAAACAAAATAAAAAAACAAAGCCAAAACACCAAATCTAAGCAGCAGCAAAAAGAGGCACAGTCTCTCTAGTAGGTACAGTCATGAGTGTTTAATTTTCTGCTTTACCCCTTAAAAATTTTACAAATTGTCTTTAATGAGCAAATGTTACTTATAAGTCAGGAAATAAAACTTTTTATTAAAAAACAAAAGGGCCATAAAATGCTGGACATTATTAATAATTACCTGTGACAACAGTAAAATAATTAAATAAACAAGCAAGCTAAAAACCCTGTACATTCCTATTGTCCCCTTCCTCTGAGGCTCCCAGATCGCTGGTTTTGGGAACATCTGCTGCATTGACTTACAAATGAAGAAACAATAGTGATTCTTTAGGACTGGGATTTGCATCAGGAGCCCCGGGGAGTGCTAGTTAAAAGGGCAGTTTGATGAGTCCAGCCGCTTAGGACTCTGACTCAGTGGGTCTGAGATGGGTCCCGGGCACCTGTAGTTTAAAAGGCATTACAAGTGATTCCAATGGTCCTGGTTAAGGGGTGCTTCCAACGCACCCGTGCATCCTGTCAGCAAAGGCCAAGCGCAGTCCCTGTACCAGGACCCTGCCCTGGGAGAGCAGGTGTGACAAGACCCTCCGCCGCTTTACTCCGTTATCCGTGTTGTGGCGCCCTGCCCTTGTATTTGTCACCCCTTTTGAAATAGACTTTGTAGACACCTTGACCTTCATCACACCTCCCTCACGCTTGAAAGATTACAGACTTGGCACATCTCTGAGTAGGAAGAGATCTGAGAAATCTAGGTCAGCCACTGCCAGTCCAGCCTCCTTACAGGGATGCTCATAGCGACGGCACCCAGAAAATCAGGGAGAAGCCAGCCTCCTCACTCCCAAGCCAGTGCTCTTTCTATGACACCAAAGATGGCCTGATTCTGTCTGTCTTCATTCATTGCTGTGGGTCCCGCGACTAAGTGCCCTCTGAGCAGCGTTTGTTCCTTCGTGAGACCTCCTGGCCCCACAGTCTCCATGTCTCATGCAGGAAAGCAAAAGAGGCTGAGTGATTTGCCCCAAATGGTCCAGGAAGTGGAGCCAACCTCAACTTGGAGGAGGGCTGTGCTCTCCTCTCCCAGCCCCGGGACATAGCTTCTCTCTGGTGCTGGGGATCCCAGCTGCTGGTGGAGGCAGCTGCCTGCCCACATGCTGCCTTTGGTGGGCCCAGCGCTGAGTTCACCTGGGGCTTGGCTGGGAGAGCAAAGGGAAGCGTGGGGTGAGGAGGGCCTCTCTGCAGCCAGCCTGGCCAGCTGGAAAGGGCACAGGTTGGAGTCAGGAGAATTAGGTTTGAGCCTCGGCTCCCTGACCCTGAGACCTCTGGTAATAGTAACACAGCTCAAGCTTAGTATGGGTTTACTCCCTACCAGGCCCCGTGCTAACACTGCATGGATTTTCTCATTTAATCCTCATCACCAGCCACTGGCCAACCAGCACACAGCTGGTGAGGGGTAGGACTGGGATTTGAACCTAGGCCACCTGGTTCCTGAGCCATTGAAGAAACCGAGACTCTGAGATCTTAACTCTCGCAGAAGAAGGTCATGGTTAATGATGGGTTTGGAGTAAAACAGGCCTGGGTTTGAATCCTGACTACTCTACGTAGCTGTGTGACCTTGGGGAAGTGACACCACCTCTCTGAGACTCATTCTCATTAGTAAAGCAGGAGTTGGCAGTAATGCTATCTGTCTCCAGGGCTACTCCAAAACCAAAATGCCAAACGTACTGGTTGTTACTAGGGCGATTGTTAACAGTTACCCCTCAGCTCCAGGCCTGGCTCCCTTGGTCACTGGCCAGCGTGGAAGCCTAAGGGCAGGGCCCCTCTCTGTGATCTGTGTCTCCTAGGGTCAACTCCTACGGCCAGCTACGAGGAGGAGGAGCTGCCCCCTGACCCCAGCGAGGAGACGCTCACCATAGAAGCCCGATTCCAGCCTCTGCTCCCAGAGTCCATGACCAAGAGCAAAGATGGATTCCTAGGGGTGAGTTGAGGTAGGGTAAGCGGGGCAGTCCCCACAGGTCGGGCCATAGATAGGAGGACCATCTGTGTGCACTCGTCACCCGAGAATGGAACTGTGTTCATCTCTCCTTCTCTTTCCTTATTCCTTCATCACCGCCCTCTGCGCACCCGGTGTGCCAGGCCTTGGGGGTCCAGGAGTGGGTGCGATGCCAACCTGCTGTCCAGGCACACAGTCTGGAGGGGGAGGCAGGAGCGATAAGTATGAGCCTCTCACCCCAGGCGGGGTCTGAGATGGCTCCCCAGAGGGAGTGACACCTGGCAGAGATTGCCGGAGGCGGAGAGCTTAGCCGGGTGGGGGAGGGGAAGCGAGGATCTGGTCGTAGGAAACGGCACTAGAGACCATGTTGATGCAGCCGCCTCGCTTAGAATCACCACTTTTTGCAAATCAGTCTTTCCTCCCCCGCAGGGGGCTGTGGGGTGGGTAGGGCACCTGACAAACACTTTGCTAACCAGCCCCGCCCTGAACCCGAGGCCCTGTGGACGGGGCCTCAAGCCCCTCACGGGACCTGAGCCTCCCCAGACCCGGCCTGCCTCTCCCATGTTCATTCCTCTCTGCAAGTCAGGCTTTCTTCCAGCCACGAGCCTCCTCTGTGCCGTTTCCTCAGCCAGAAACAACTTTTTCTCCGCACCCTGCCCACACCTCCTCAGCCTCCGTGTCTCAGCTGAAATGTCCTTTGGCATGAACAAAGGCTGGAAGGCAGAAAGTGCCGGGCGGTTGTGTGAGGGCAGGGAGCCCGGGTGCCCGGGACGCATGCACGGGCATCCCGGGAGGAGAAGTTGCCACACGGAGAAGGGCCTTAGTTGCCTGACTCTGGCCTTCATTCTGCAGCAGCACAACGCCATAGCAGATTTTTAAATAGGACAGTTCCCTGATCAGATCGGTGCTTCCCAGGATGGCAGCTGGAGCGGACGGACAGGAGGCCAAAGACGAGTTCCTGGGAGGGGGCGGGGCGCAGGCAGGGGAGGCAATGGTGCTGGAGGAAGGACAGCCTGGAGGATGGGACCCGAGGAGACAGGGCGTGGTTACTAATGGAAAATGACAGGGAGGAGTCAGGCTTCCAGGCTGGTGACCAGGCAGCTGGTGACCATTTGCCCCGTGGGGACTGAAGGAAGGAAGCAGGTCTGGTGGAGTCGGAGTCACAGCAGTTGGGAGAGGCTGAAGTTGAAGGGCTTAGGGGGTGTCACAGGGGGAGCCCAGTAGGAGGTGTGGCCCACAGGTTTGACCTGCCATGGAAAGCTCTGGGTGGAGATGGGTTTGGTGGTGACGAGCCTGGAGCTGGGGGTGAAGCTGAGCAAACGAGTCCCTGCAGAGCAGTGAGAGCCTGTGCTCGCAGGGGACAGGGGTCCGGAGCAGCACCCCAAGCCTGGCCTCCCTCGAAGAGCCCCACACAGTCCCGCAGAGCCCAGCCCCCTGCTGGCAGGCAGCTCCGCTGCTCGCCCGCCTGCCAGCAGGGGGCCAGTGGGGGGCAGGCTCTGCCTGGCCCTGCGCAACCAGGGCCGCTTTGAGGACCTGCCCGTTCAATCCCCCTCAGTGGGAACTCCCTGCCCCCCTCTCTTCCCACTGAGCTTTTGAGGTGGGGAAGGGAGAGGGGACCCACTGCTGTCAAAGACGGGGGCAGCTCCCTGGAGGCTGAGTGCCCCTGAGGGGTGCCAGGCACGCAGTCATGGGGCTGATGCCTCAGTGGGAAGGGATTCCCTCCTGTAGCCCAGAAGGGCAAGGTGGCACTTGCAGGGACCCTGCGTGCTCCCAGGTCCCATCTGTACTCCAGGCAGGTGTGCAGACGGTCCTGCAGGGTCCCTGACCCTTGCTCTCTCCTGCCTGTCAGCGTATCTGGTAGACGTGAGGCGGGGCCCATCCAGCAGGGCCCAGGGCACTGCCTGGGGGTGGCCTTTCTTCCCTGTCTAGGCCTGAGTGGGCCACAGGGCACTGCGTCTCAGGCTGAGGACCCGGGAGGGGTGGGTGGAGATGAGCCCCAGCTCTGGCAGGACGGTGCCAGGTGGTGCCAGGCCTGTGGCCGTCACCAGGGCGGGAGCCTCCCCCAGGTCCCTCTGTACCCTGGGCTTGTGGGTTGGCTCAGGGCTAAAAAAAAAAAAAAAAAAAAGATGTCCACCCACACATGGGACAGGGGACCCCAAAGTCACGTTCTCAGTGCCCCAGAGCTTCGGCTTGCCCCGCCCCAGGTCTCCCGCATGGCCCTGTCTGGCCTCCGCAACTGGACAACCGCAGCCTCGCCAAGTGCCGTGTTTGCTGCCCGCCACTTCCGGCCCTTCCTGCCCCCTCCGGGCCAGGTGGAGCTGGGCGAGCCCTGGTGGATCATCCCCAGTGAGCTGAGTGTCTTCACCGGCTATTTGTCCAACAACCGCTTCTACCCACCACCACCCAAGGGCAAGGAGGTGAGGACAGCCCATGGCGAGCCCCAGGCCCCGCGCCCCAGCCCCTGTCTGGGCATGGCCCCTTTCCGTCCGTGCCTGGACCCCTGCGCCAGGCCTACCCCACTGCTGTCCACCTTGCTCTGGCCCCTCCCCCCCACCCCCAATCCCTAGGCCTGCAGGGCGCAGCAGCCAGCCCGTGTCCCACTGCCCTTCCCCCAGGTCATCGTCCACCGGCTCCTGAGCATGTTCCACCCGCGGCCCTTCGTGAAGACCCGCTTTGCCCCTCAGGGTGCAGTCGCCTGCCTGACGGCCATCAGCGACTTCTACTACACTGTGATGTTCCGGTGAGTGGCCCTCGCAGCCCCGTCCTTGCCTCCGAGCCGGGCCTGGGACTCCAGGGCAGCACAGGAGGGCTCAGCAAGGGGAGCACAGGCCTGGCTCGAAGCCCCGCTTATACCCTGTGTGCTTAAGCTCCCTGGGCCTCAGTTTCCTCATGTGAGGATCAGGGCAGTGGTGACTTCCTTCTGGGAGGAAGAGAAAAGGGGCCGAGCATGCTTAGCATAAGCTGGTGGCTCTGATTGTCGCCCACACAGAAGAGGGATGCATAGAGCTGTGACACCAGGTCACGCCCCCTTGAGAGACTGCGAGAGCACAGAAGAAGGTCAGGCAAGGCTTGCAAAGGCAGCACAGAAACTGAGCCCTGAGGTTGGGCAGCGCTTGGAGGCCTCGTGCCTTCTCCCTGCTGCACACACGCTCCTTGCTCCCTGCCCAGCCCTGACCCTGCAGAGTCTGGCCAAGAGTTCCCAGGCTTTAGGGCAGATGCGGGAGGGTGGGCTCCGGCTCAGCAGGGCCTGCTCCCAGCCAGGCTCTTTCCCCCAGGATCCACGCCGAGTTCCAACTCAGCGAGCCACCTGACTTCCCTTTCTGGTTCTCACCCGGCCAGTTCACCGGCCACATCATCCTCTCCAAAGATGCCACCCACGTCCGTGACTTCCGGCTCTTCGTACCCAACCACAGGTGGGAGCTTTGGCCTAAGTCCCCCGGCTCCAGGGTCAGAAGCCAGTGCCCAGAGGCCCCCTTAGTCTCTGCCTCTTCTTTGCTCCCCAGAACCTCCTCTCTTGGGAGGGATCTGGAGCTGACCCAGGAGGAGACAGCCTGAGGCAAGTTGAGGGTCATTTCAATATACGATAAGCGTGTGCCAGGTGCTGCATGGGCCTGGCCCACCGACTCTGTGCCCAGGACCCAATAGAGTGGTAGCAGACCCTCCCTGAAGCTGGAGCTCCCCACCCTCACAGTGCTGACCCCTGGCCACAGCCCACTCACGCCACCCAAAGGGCAGGCCGGCAGGTGGGCAGGGACCTGGCTGGCTGGGGTCTAGATAGGCTTCTCAGAGGAAGGGACGTCTAAGCAGGGACCTAGCGGATGAGGAGGGTTTAGCAGGCAGAGGGAGCCGCACAGGCGCCCCACTGCCTGAGTTGCTACCAATGGGCCTGGGGAATGGGGCGCAAGGTTCAAGTCTTTCCTGATTCCTAAGTGGCTGCTTAGTGACTCTGACAGGGAGAAGACCTGGCTGGGAGCAGGGAGGCCCAGAGTTAAGTCTCAGCCGTGACACCAGTGAGCTGCGTGTCTGTGGGCAAGGCTTTGGCCCTCTCTGGGCCCCTGTTTCCTCATTTTCTAGACAGGAGGCTGGCAGGAGTGAGGGGATGGTTGGCGTAACCTGGGAAGAGGAAGTTGCCCCCAGGAAAAGGGTAGCTTCTTCTCAACTCCTTTTATTCCTCCTTCCTCTGCTCAGCAGGCAGGCGCTGGCTCAGCCCAGGTCACATCTGCCTCTGCCCCAGGGTTGAAGGCCGGGGGTCCTGGGCTGGAGGAAACAGAAGGAGAGGGGCAAAGGCCCAGCCCCAGGACCAAGCCACAGGGGCTGCTGACCCGCTCCGAGGGCAGGCGCTCGCACCGCCCAAAGTGGTTGGTTGTTAGTCCAAGGGCGCCCTCATGTGGCCGATCTTCACATGGCGCCTGGTCAGGCCAGACTTCCTACTGGAGGACAGTGCCAGGGTTTCAGCCCGCTGCACTGTGCCCTGGGGAGATGCACTCTGCCTGGAAGGGCCGAGAGCAATACAGAAGTCGTGGATATGAAAGCCCTTTGTAAACTGTGAAGGCTGGGCTGCTGGAAGGTGATGTGGTTGCAGTGCCTTGGGAAGAGCAGCCCCAGGGAAAGGAAGGGGCCCAGGCAGCTCTGGGGCCTTGGGTTCAACCTGCCAACCCTCAGTGTTCTCATCTGTGAAATGGAGACAGCTGTGCACCTTCAACAAAATAATGTATGACATCGGCCCTGCTTACGGTGTTCTGCCCTGGCCACCCTCTCACCGTCCCCAGGTCTCTGAATGTGGACATGGAGTGGCTCTATGGGGCCAGTGAGAACAGCAATATGGAGGTGGACATCGGTTACATACCTCAGGTGAGCGCACAGGTGATCCCTGCCTGGCTAGGAAGGCGGGGCTCCCCTGCCGGGCTCGGTCACGGGACCCCTGAGCCCGGCTGCAGGGAGGGCCCAGGTGGCTAGGAGCCTCAGGCCTACCCAGAGTGAAGGACAGAGCTCCTGGCAGGCTGAGGCCAACTGTGCCCACAGCAGGGTTCTGGGAACCCACCCGCTTCTGCACACAGAACCCACCACCTGCTGTGGCCCTCAGAGAGCTTCATGCACTGGAAGGAGCCCTGGCTGGACACTGGCTCTGTCCCTGGCTCACTGGATAGCCTGCCCTTCCCTGGACCCCGGTTTCTCCACCTCTGCGATGCCTGGGGCATCTGTGAGGGTCTCTCAGGGCCCTTTGAGGATTATTGCCCATCTCTGACACATCCCTCACTGATGGCACCCCTTGCTGACCTCCGGCCTAGATGGAGCTGGAGGCCACAGGCCCCTCGATACCCTCCGTGATCCTGGACGAGGATGGCAACATGATCGACAGCCGCCTGCCCTCAGGGGAGCCCCTCCAGTTTGTGTTTGAGGAGATCAAGTGGCAGCAGGAACTGAGCTGGGAGGAAGCCGCCCGGCGCCTAGAGGTGGCCATGTACCCCTTCAAGAAGGTAAGGCTGGACAGGGGTGAGGGCGGGGGTCAGGGTTCATGGGGCTGGGGCTGGGGCTGGGGCTGCGGCCTGGAGAGCGACAGGTGGGCACGGGGCCTGGGCTTGTGCCATGCTTGCCCCTGAGGTTCTCTCCCCGCAGGGCCCCGCGGTGCCAGGGGGGCCTCCCTTTGCCATTCAGAACCTGGAGGAGGCACCCCCATCTCAGCAGCACCCCTTCACAGACACACGCACGCGCGCACATCACACACTCAGTGCCTGAATGGACCCTGGCTGCACACAGTAGCTTCTCCCTGTCTCGGCTTGGCCCCAGGTCACCTACCTGCCATTCACCGAGGCCTTCGACCAAGCCAAGGCCAAGAACAAGCTGGTGCACTCGATCCTGCTGTGGGGGGCCCTGGATGACCAGTCCTGCTGAGGTGAGGGAGACCTGGCCAGTCCAAGGGGAGAATGGGGGGTAACGTCATACCTTGTGGGGTACAGGAAGCCGCAAGACCAACGGCCTCTCCTGCCGGGGCATGAGGGGCTTGGGACTGCGCAGGGCAGGGGCACGGGGTGAGGGCTTGGGCGGTTCCTGTGCTGAGCTCCGAGGGGGCTGCTGGGTGCAGCAGGAAGAGCCCAACTCGGCCATTGTCGCTTTAGAAACCGTGGCCAAGTGACTCCCTCTCCCTAAACCTTAGTTTTCTCCACAGTAAAGGAGAGGTAACATTCTTACCTCCCAGAGTTGTAAGAAATGGATGTGTAAATGCCTGTGCTCTGCAAAATGTGGCACACAAGTGAGATTAAAAAAAAAATACTACCAGAGGCTCCGTATGCATTCACATATTCAGAAAATTCACTGAAGACCTACTGGTGCAAAATTCTTTGGGTGTCAGACAGTGGCTACAAAGATGAGTCAATGAGCCCATCCTCATCCAATCAATCAATGAACGTTCTGGGCGCCTCCTGTGCCATGCCATAGGCTAGGTGCTGGGGGTCTGGCAATGAGGAAGTCAGAACGGTCCCTGTCCTTGGGGGCACGCAGTGAGAACGCTGATGTTGAATAAGTACAAGCATTGTGTCACACAAGGCGAGGTCCAGAGTGGCACAAGGGTGTGTGACTGGGGGTGTCAGGAGAGGCTTCTTAGAGAAAGTGACATTCAAGTTGAGACTTTGAAGGATGAGCAGAGTTTGTCAAGTGACAGGAGGAAGAGTATTTTTGGTAGAAGAGCAGCCTGTGCAAAGGCCCTGGGACACAGTTTCATGGATTCAAGGCGACAAGTCTCAGCTTGTGATGCCTGGATCACAGCTATCATTTATTCAGCACCTGCAGGCTCTTTGAGTCTGTACTTCGCTTGGTACACAGACCACTCTGTTGCCCGTGAGGTTTATCGCTGATTGAAACCCGGTGAGGCATGTGGGGACGCCTCACGCTTCCGGCCACATGTCTCCCTGAACAGGTTCAGGGCGGACTCTCCGGGAGACAGTCCTGGAAAGTTCGCCCATTCTTGCCCTCCTCAACGAGAGCTTCGTTAGCACCTGGTCCCTGGTGAAGGAGCTGGAGGACCTGCAGGTGAGTGGGGGGCGGTGGGAACAGCCCCTTGGGAGCCCCGAGGACAGTGCCGGGGGGCCAAGGCATCAGGAGCGTGCCCAACTGTCCCCATAGAACAACCAGGAGAACCCGTCCCACAAGAAGCTGGCCGACCTGCACCTAGAGAAGTACAGCTTCCCCGTGGAGATGATGATCTGTCTGCCCAATGGCACCGTGGTAGGTCACCCCCACCGCCTGCACCCGGCCTGGGGCCAGGCACTGTGGGTAGAGGGAGCAGCCAGCCGCAGGCAGACACAGACCTCCCCAGGCTTCGGGTCTGGCTCCACCGCCTCCTGGCTGGTCTCTTAGTTATCACATCTATGAACAGAAATCCTGATGCCCAGCCTGCCTGCCTCATGCAGGTGCCAGGGTGCTCCTGTAGGAAGGGCACCTCAACAGCACTTTGGAGACGGGACACAGTGGGCACAGTGTGGCAGCCGAGTGGAAAGGAGCGTAGCCTGGAAGGGAAAGCTCACCTCGGAGCACTGCGGTCAGCCCTGGGATGGAAGGAGGGACAGGCCAGGCCTTGTGGCAGGTAGACAGGACCAGGGACCGCCCTCCCTGCCAGGCCCAGGCAAACCTCAAGACCCCACCTGTCCCTAAGGGCTCCTTGCAAGCCCTCAAACATGTCCTCCAGGTGGATTCTCACAGCAGCTTTGGGAGCTAGATGATTACAAATACCCATTTTACAAACAAGGAAACGGAGGCTCAAAAGGTTCAGAGATTTGGCAACAGTTGCCCAAGTGAGAAATGTAGCTGGCTTTGAACGCAGCCTGCCTGGCCACCTCAGCGTCTCCTGCTCTTCCTGGCAGAAAGGGTGCAGGGGTCAGGGGTCACGAGCAGAGGAGTGGGCTGGGACTGAGGGGAAGGTGCCATAAAAGATGTCAGGTTTTCCTTCACCTGATGCATGAAGCGTGGCGCTCTGTGCTCAGAGGACCCTGAGTGAGCAGAGGCAGGAGAGGGGAGCAGCCTGGGCCCGGGGCCGGGTTCTGGCGAGGGTTCTGCCCGTCTGCCATCCGCCTCAGGGAGAACAGTTGAGGCCTGAGAGTGGCCACTTCTCCCACGAGAGGCCAAGCAGACAGCAGAGGGGCTCTGAGCCTGGGGGGCCCCCACGCCTCACCCAGTCGTTCTCCAAGGTGCACCACATCAACGCCAACTACTTCTTGGACATCACCTCCATGAAGCCGGAGGACGTCGAGAACAACGCCTTCAGCTTCTCGTCCACCTTTGAAGACCCGTCCACGGCCACCTACATGCAGTTCCTGAAGGAGGGCCTCCGGCGCGGCCTGCCCCTCCTCCAGCCCTAGTGCGGCCGCCGGACCCAGGCCTCGAGGAGCCAGGCTGAGAGGCGAGCTGGAAGGAAAGGCCCCCAGCCACGCCCTGCGACCCCAGAGCCAGAGTGGTCCTTGCACATTTCAAAAGTCAGGCATTCCCACCCCACCACCCCAGGCTGCCTGTGAGGTCGGAGGTCAACTAAGGGTGGCTGTCTTAGCTTTGCACCTGTTAGGGGGCAGTTGACAAGGAGCTGCGTGGTCTGACTGGTGTGTGAACCTGAAGCTCCAGCTGCCACCATCGGCCCTTTACCACCCACCTGGCTCCGGAAGCTGCTTAAGGCCCCTGAAATGGAGCCCTGGGTCATTTCACTAGACGTTGCCCTCTCAAGCGCATGGTCCAGGCCCTTGTGGGGTGAAGAATAAGAGAAGTGAGTGCTAGGGAAACAGGGCCACCCTTTCTCCTTCCTTTCACCTCTCCCCAAAAGGAACGTCAAGAAGTCTGGCATGGGGGGTGGGTGTCAGAGAAGTATCTTGTTTTTGTCGGGAGCCTTCTTCCTGGCCACGGCCCTAGCTGCCCTCCTGTGCCTGGTGTCCCTGGTGGGGTCAGTCTCAGCTGGAGACAGCCATCTGGAGGCTCTGAGCAGAACCGTTCTTCAGAAGGGGAAACCATCAGTCCCCCAGACCTTGGCTCCTCAGGCCAGTGCATCCGACCTCATGACAGGACCCCCAAACCTGTTTGGGGACTTGCTGGGGGCCGGCTGCCTGGAAAGGTTTGCTGTGAGGTAGGCTGCTGCCCTTAGCAAGGGGTTCCACTGAGGAGCCCCTGAGGCCCAGGCCCAAGGCACCGCCTGTGTACCCCAGCACAGGGTGATGGCGGGACTGCCGGAGCCAGAGCTCCGGGCTCGCCCCCTGCCCCTAAGACCTCAGCTCCACAGAAGTGTCGCCCAGCCAGAGGGCAGAGCCTCCCCCCGGGGCCAACACGCTCCCAGCCTTCAGGCAGCCCAGACTGGCCTGTCCCCTGCTGGGTGGCTGCTGACCCTCCGTGGCCGCTTTTACGGCCTTAGTTCACATCCCAAGCCACTGACCACAGCCAGTCCCTTTTTTATACATGCAGAAAAAGTGTTTTTATATGACCTTTCTCACAGTTTGTAGGTATTTTTGATAACCCCAGCGCTGGGGAGAAGGATAGGGGCAAAGGCTCCCTCCAGCAGCTGCCCCATGACGGCTGGATCTGAAATCCCAGATGGATCCAGTTTGATGTCTTTGCAGTTGCACCTGTGGGAAGAAGTACACCTCTCTTCCTTCTCTTCTAGTTTTTTTAAAAAAAACAATCCTCAGAGGGTCAATGTATCTTCACTCTGCACTCAGGCCCACGAGGGCCCTTAGGGCGTCATTAAGGCCTTGGAGCCCAGGCTGTGCCCCGCCCCCACCCCACATGGGCTGTCTCCTCAACCGGGATGAGGAAGGAAGGCGGACTCTTCCTCAGACACGTTCCCAGGCCTTCCCCCTGCTGAGTTCCCCGCCCGCCACGGGAGTGTCCACCCTGAGCTTTCTCCATCTGAGGCATTCTGTCAATATTACATGTCTTTTCTCATTTAATCCTCACAACAAGCCTGTGAGGCAGATATTAACTGTTCCCATTCTACAGAAGAAAAAAACTGAGTCTCACCCTGGCTGGTGTGGCTCAGTGGATTGACACCTGCAAACTGAAAGATCTCCCGTTCGATTCCCAGTCGGGGCCCATGCCTGGGTTGCAGGCCAGGGCCCCAGTAGGAGGCATGTGAGAGGCAAGCAATTGGTGTCTCTCTCACACATTGATGTTTCTCTTCCTTTCTCCCTTCCTTCCCCTCTCCCTAAAATAAATAAAATCATTAAAAAAAAGAAAAAAGAAAAGAAAAGAAACCGTCTCGAAATGCAATGACTTGCCCAAGGTCACTGAGTGGCAGAGTTGAGATCCAGCCTGAATCTTGATCGTGAGGTGTTTTGTTCTACATCGCATCCCTACCCCTCTCCCCTGCCTGTTTTCCCTGAGGCAAAAAAGAAGTTCTTTCAAACCAAAGTATTTCCTTTCCCTCTGATCTCCAGATCAAATGAGGCATGAGCCAGCAAGTTCAGCCAAGTTCTTTATGTCCTGCGGGAGGCATGCCTCCATGCCCTTTGGGGGGGGGCGGGGGGGGGTGCTAAGCCTTTCTCAGTGCTTCCAAGCATGGGTGGAAGTAAGGTACTGATCGCTTGGGCTTTCTGCATCCTCATCAGGTGTCTCTGCTTGGCCCCCATGTGCCTGGAAGCTCATGGTGGGGGAGGCCCCCAGCTGCCCTCTTGTAACACCTCTGCCACTTCCCTCGCTTTTTGCCAACATGTCCTATGATAAAATTGGAGAGACGAGGGTTGTTTGAAGTGCCTTTCCTTTGAGTGGGATAATGTGCAGTTTTGTCCTTTTTGGTCTGACTCTTCTGTGGGATTGGCTTGCCAGATGGGCAAGGGAGTGTGGCTGGAATGCTTCTGGGGACTATCTTATCTGTCCCCAGAAGGCTTGAGTGCCTTTCTTAAAATAATTTTGTGATGGACCCCAATAGTGGAACTTGATATATTTAGAATCTGATGCTGTGTTGATAGAATCAAACCCATTTTCTTAGAAGCACAACTCAAGACAAACATTAGGTAGTTGTTTTCTGAAGGACTCCACTTCAGAAAAAAACTTGTGAAGAGAGCGAAGCAGGAAGGAAAAACACTGAGCAGGGATAGAGTCAAAGCCTAGCCTTGGCCTGATCCCAGGGAAAGGGCTCTGGAGTGTAAACCACACCGCAGAGTTAAACCAGCCTTTTGTAACGTGTACCAGTCAGTCACGGACGAAGGGGGTGGAGTAACTTCCCAGGATGGGGCCTCCACTCTTCCTTCCGCAAGGGCAATTTTCCAGAAAAGGGGGCAGCTGTGGGCAGCAGCCAACTCAGCAGCTGGAGGATGGATTCACTGGCAGAGTAAACGGGATCTGCGTGGGGCACCAAGACAGCACCTAGCACTCACATCTGCCATTGCCCAGGAAAGTGAAATCAAAGATAAGCAACAGTTTGCCATCCTGGAAAAAGGGCTGGACCTGGAAGTCAACATCCTTTAAAATATAGTGGGGCTCAGGGACCTCTAAGGTCTCAGGCCAAAACCAGCTACATAATTTGCAGGGTCCAGTGCAAAATGAAAATGCAGGGCCTCTTGGGATTTGCAGGATTTGAGACCAAAGAACTGCAACCAGGGAACCAGGCACAGCCACATGCTGCGATCAGAAAGGGCATGTGATCCAGGTCTGGATGCCATGGACACCAGGACGAGGAAGGTTTGAGCACAAAGAGGGAGTGGGTGAGTGGCCTGGAAGGAATGTGGAAATGTGGGTGGTTCTCTTTCCCAATGCCTCTGAGATCTACCCTACCCACCCGATCACATCATTGAAAATACTGTGTGTATGTGTAATACATAAAGGCTGAAAAAGGAGAAAGCTACAAAGCGCTGGAGGACAAGAGTCAGAGAAGCCCATTCTTGCTGGAAAGAAGGCAGAGGGTCTCGGCCGGTGAGTACGAACTGTAAAGGGGACCAGGGCGATATGCAAGGCAAGCTCTGCGGCCTAAGGATCTGGAAGGCCAGGGTTCTCAAGTTTGCACTCGGGGTGGGGACCGTTGACACCACGCAATCTGGGGGTCGAACAGCGATATAGTCAGACCTCCTACTGCAAAGGTCGGATCGGGACTAAAAGCAGCAAATAGAGACCAGAAGGGTGACATCTCGGAGCTCCGTCCATTTTTATCACGGGCTCTGACAGGAGGGGGCGTGGTCTCGAATGGGCGCGTCCGTCCCCGGGGCCCACACGTGCTGCCGCCCACTGCCCCGCCCACTTAGAGGCCGAGCTCGCCCCGCCTTGAACCTGCCCGCTATCCGAGGGAGCTGGGGGCGCGGCTCGGTGCGCAGCTGCAAAGGATTGCTTCCGGAGGCCAGCCAGCGGAAGTGAGGCCAGTTGAGGCTGGGCGGCCCGCTGTAGTAGGAGGGGCCGTGAGGTGAGTGAGTCCCGGAGCCGGAGTCTTAGGTGAGAGACTAGGACCGAGTGCCGCCTGGGAGGAGGGGGTGCGGCCTCTTGCGAGGCGCGGTGCGGGGCTCGCGGCTCCTGTTCCCGCTCTAGTTCTCGCGGGAGCCGGTGTTGCCCGCCTCATTTGGCAAGGGGGGAAACTGAGTCCCCAAGGAGTAATTGCTCGCCAGAGTCACCCAGCTTCGGTGGCCGAGCAACACGGGAGGCTTCTCGTTTCGGCCGCGGTCCTCAGCTGGCTGGGCCGTCTCTTCCACCTCCTCGCTCCTTCTGGGGCCTGACCCCGGGCCTGTGGGTCCAGGGACCGCCTGGCCGGGAGCGAGAACTTGGCCGACCTTGCCCCTGTCGGGTCAGGCTGTTGCGGGGGAGGGGAGGCGTGTACCGGGCAAGGTCCCCGCACAGGTTCCCCGGCGCAGCCCTGGGCTCAGCAAAGTTCCGCTGCTGAGCACGGCGGCCTCCAAGGGGACCCAGGAGTAATGAGACCGAGCCCTGCCCTGCCTGTCTCCTGCGGGAGACCGTGTGTAAACATGACAACAGCATAGAGAGGGGCTGTGGGAGCGCAGAGGTGGTAAGAACCAAGCGGCGTTGGCGGGGACAGGATTCTTACAGCCAATGACACTGTATGAAGGTGGTGAGGGAGGGTGTGAAGGCTAAGTCGGTGTTCTCGGTGCCCTCTGCTTTCCTTCATTCATTTTTTAATTGGACAAATGCTTACATGCTTGCCATGGGCCGGGCAGGCACTGTACCTAGGGAAGTGTGCCTAGGGAAGTCTCTGCCCTTGGGACAAATGATACCTTACACAGTTAATCATGGAGGAAAGGCAGGGTGATGTGAGGTGAACAGTGAAGGACCTGACTCTGTCGGGGAAGGGGAGGTGATGCTTGAGCTGAGCTCAAGGATGGTTAAGAATGAGCTTTGGGAAAGGGATGCAGGTGTTAGGTGAACAAAGGCAATAGTGTGGGCAAGGCCTCAGAGGCGGTGCTGCTGCCGAAAGAAGGCCAGGGTGGCCGAGGGCGCGACGTCCGGCTGCGAAGTGTGCAGGGGCCAGATCGCAGGCCTTGTAGGCTGTCGTGAGTTTGGTCTACTGAGGTTGGTTCTGGTAGTGGAAGACCTGCAGGAGCCTGGATCTGTAGGGGTTTTAAACAAAGGAACAATGTGACTCGCAGTGTCTAGAAAGATCCCTCTGGCTGATGTGTGAGACTTGGGCCCAACTGAGTCTTTAGAAGCAGGTTCGGAGAGGAAGTGGCTGCAGTGACTAAAGTGAGAAACAGAGGGGAGCATTGTTGTGTGGGACTTGGGTCAGGTACTGACATTCGGCTCAGAGCCTGGGACACACGGGGACTTTGGTGAAAGGCTTGAACTGCACCTAGAAGTTGAACCCATGCAGGAGGCAGCAGGATTGGGTCCAGACTTGAGGTGCTTCCTACTGTCCTGACCACTGAGTGACCATAGACCAGCTTGTTCGTCTCTCCAGCTTCCTTTCCTTGTGTGAGTGATAGCTTCCTTCTTTCCAACTTCCTTTCTCCATAAGTGAATAACTCCTCTCCCAGGAGTGAGAGACTCTACAAGTAAGAGCTTCCAGAAAGTGCTTCTTTGGTAGTCCAATGCACCCCCTGTGCAGAGCCTTCCCCTGGCTCACTAGTTAGCTGTATTTTGCCATGTATATTGCGCACCTGAGGTTTTGTGCGCATTTACATGGATTATACTTGTTATTATACCCGTGGTATGTAACCATTATACCCATGTATGATGCACATTCTTATTTCTCCCTAAAAAATTTGGGCAAAAAAGTGCACAATATACATTGCAAAATACGGTACTTCTCAGCTGGGTGTGCCCAGCCCTCGTGACTTGACACCCAGTTAATCTTTACCCCTTAAACTCTGCTCCTCTAAGACATCTCTCACCTTCCTGTCCCGGGCCTGCGCCATTTTACTGCTTTTCTTCCCTTCTTTTCCCCTCCAAGCTACCATAGGACCTTGGGGCCGGAGCCAAATTCACCTGACCACGTGCCTATTGTACCTTTCTTAAGATAATTATATATTCTTGGCTAGAATTATGTATTCAGGTGCTCTCTCTCCTATATTGTGAGTTCCTTGAGCGCATGCTATGTCTTCCTCTTTCGTTGCCCCTACAGTGCCCAGCACAAGGTGAGTATTGTTAGTGTTTGATGAACAAGGGAATGAGTGAGCTCATTGATTGCATCTGCTCACCATGCAAGGGCAGCTGTGAAGAATCCAGTCAAGAGTGACCCTACCCATCTGTCACATTTTAACAGTTCATTAAGCCCTTTAAAATTCCCTATTTCACTGATTGCTCTGTAAGGTAGTCTAGAGTGACAGCTGTTCTTGTCCTCTTCTTACAGGTGCTGAAACCAACATTTGGAAAGGTTAAGTGACTTGCCTATGGCTACAAAGCCAGTAGATGGCTGAGTCAGGATACAAGCATTTGGCTCTTTTCCTTATAGCCGAATAGACTGAGATTGACTAGAGCAGGCTGTCTCTTCCTCTGTTGTCTATTTTACCTCTCCCCCTATCAGGGGCCCAGCAGTGCTGGGTGGCACGTGCTGGGCTTTTATATCTCATCTTCAAGAATGAATGCTGGAACCCTTGCTGGGCAGCTCAGCTTGTCAGGGCATCATCCTGATACACCAAGGTTGCAGGTTCTATCCCCAGTCGGGGCACATACAAGAATCAACCAATGAATGTATAAATAAGTAGAACAAATCAATGTTTCTCTCTCTCTCTCTCTCTCTCTCTCTCATTTATTCTCTCTGAAAATCAATAAATAAAAAATTTTTTTACAGAATGGCTGTTGGGCTGTAGGTGGTACCTACAGTTTGTCTTTCCCATGAGCTTTTTAACTACCAAAGGGTTCTATTTCATCTTTAGAAGTTTTACATCAGAAAACCAAGGGCCCAGGAGCAGCTCCAGCATTGTCCAAGCTCATGCAATAAGTCTGGAACAGAGCCTTTAAGAGTCTGGATTTGGAAGAGCCATTGCTGGGTGGGGCAGCCTCTTGGGCTGGTTTTCTCCTCTGTGAAATGTAAGAGAATCCTTAGTGTTAGTCATTGCTCTGCACTGCCTGGTTTTGTGGGGCTTGTGTGATGACCATTGAGTCACCGCGGTGAGGGTTGTTTTACAGGGAGGGAACCCTGCTGGTCCTTAAGATGGCCTGATATGAAGGAATCACACCTCCCGACTCCCCAGGCTGCCTCATCCTTCAAGTGCAAGAGCCAACTGAAATGTCAGGAATGGAAGCCAATGTGGTAAGGGACATTCCGGGGACAGCGGTGTGGTGGGGGAGGCTGAGCGTGGGGCCTGCTGAAGTGGGGCTCCAGTCAGTCCTTCCTTTGCTCTGGAGACCTGGCACTGGAGGGAGGCCACCCTTCCGCCCATATACCAGGAAGAACCGGTGATGGTCTTGGGGGCAGTTAAAGAGTCAGTGTGTTTTGTGCCTGCCTGTGCAGAGGGGAGGGAGGGAAGCCCGGATGATCCCTACTCCCAGCTAATTTCTCAATCCTTTACTGGACCCTTCCAACATTACTGTGCCCTGGCGGCAGCAGGTATCCCTAAGGTGGCTTGCCAAGGTGAAGGCTGCCAACTGGGAAACCTGCCCTCACTTATAATTGAGATTTGGCTCACCCCCACAGGGTGCCATATCCCTGGGATCGAGGAATCCAGTCTCCCTGGTAAAGGGGAGTAGGGGAGAGGATGGGGACAGTACTTGAACTCATTTCTGGGGTTGCGGCTGTCGCTCTCTCTGCTCTAGACTATCCCAATCTGGCAAAACAAACCACATGGGGCTGCTCGCAGTGTAGTGAGAAGAATTGGGACCAACCTGCCCCTGAAGCCTTGTCCCCGGGCGTCCTTTCAGGTGAGTGCACTGGGAGAGCAGGGAGATGAGAGGCTCAGAGAGTATGGAAGGATGGTGCTGCTCCATGCTGCAGACTCCTCGGCATTGCCAAGGCACATTGATATCTTGGTCTTTTTTTTTTTTTTTTTTTTTTTCCTTTTGTAAGTGCTTATAATAAATGGGCCCTGGTCACTGTGTCTTCTTGATTGCACACAAACCTGTGACCACGACAGTCAGGTTTCCAGTTTGCTCATAAATTCATAATCTTACATGTTTGATGCCTCTGCTAAGTGACTCAGATTTCATCAAACTCTAGCAATCCAGTTTCTCAGAGCGGGCCACAGGCCCTAACTGAACCCCATCTCCACACTAGCCAGGCCTGTGTGCTGAGGTGTTCGCCTACAACCCTGGCAGGTGCCCACATGGGACATTGAGTGCGGGGTGGGACTCGGAGCTGACATCTGCCTTTCTTTACTAGCTGTAAGACTTGGCTGCTCAGTCACCTATTTTTAGTTTCCCTGAGGCCCAGCCTCTTCTTCCTGGGCAAGTCTGGCCACTCCTTTACTGGGCTGTTTGAGTCTTACCTCTGTGTCTAGGGGGCCTTAGCACCCACTATGCAGTAGTGATTCTTGCCTGGCTGGTGTCTCTGAGATAACCTTCTGCAAAGGAAAATCAGGTAGTATTTATTAGTCCCAGTTGCCTCCCTCAAAGAACTAATGGTTAAGCACCAGCTTGGGGCTACATGCTTAAGGTGCCTGGGGAGCTGGGACACAGAATACTTCAGCTTTTTGCCTACACAGAGAAGGCAGAAATATATGCCCAAAAAGATGGGGGTCCAGGTGGCTACAGAAATGAAGGAGATGAATTTGTATATTAGATGTTGACCTGCAAAATCTGTGTAGGAGCTGGATCTGGAGTTAGAAGTGGTGTCAGCGTTATCAGAGTCAGGAATGGAGTTGAAATGTGTGTGTTGGAAAGTGGAGGGGATGGTGTCCCATAACCCAGATTATCCAGACTTGCCTAAAGGGCATGAGTGGAGTGAGGCCCTAGCTGCCTCAAGCACCAGAAACAAGGGGAAGCACAGCTAGGGTGCATGCGGGACTCTGGAAGTTGCTCCCACACTTGGTTATAGACTCTCTAGTCCTTTGGCCAGATGCTGCTGGGCAGAGCTAATCAAGGACACAAGAGTTAATAATACTCCCACAGAGTAGGTGTATGTGTGAATAATAAAGGCATACCTCAGAGATGTTGTAAGTTTGGTTCCAGACCACCACAATGAAGCAAGTATCACAGTAACCCAGTTGCAATCTTTTTTTATTCATGGAGGTCTTGCCTTCAATTTATAAAAATGCAAAATCTGTGAAGCGCAATAAAGCAAGGTATGCCTATATTAGTAATACCAGCTAACATTTACTGAGCGTGTAGGATATGCTCAGTAAAGTCGTTTAATTGCCATTAGCAGAGCAGTGCTCTAGCTTCCCTAAATGGCCCACCTTGGCAGTAGCTCCTGGGTCAGTAGACATCACTTCAATCCTGCCAGACTCAGGTTCCCTATCTAAAAGCGAGAGCCGTCAACTCCTGATCCATCTACCGAACAATTCGTAGCAGGAACATCTGAATTTAACTCATGTAGAGGTGGGATTTTGAGAAATTACCAGTATCCCTGAATTTGTTGTAAATTACTTTAAATATTACTTAAGGGAATTTTGATTTACTTTTTAATCTACCCATATAAAATATTAAGTTATGGAAAATAAAAAAGGAGAAAGGAAAATAAATTACCTATAATCATATGGTCATGACACAGTAACTTTTAATGCTTTGGTGTAGTTCTTTTTCTATATGTATTTTGCTTTTTGTATTCACACTCAAAATATAATTGAATCCTCCTAATTTTTCGTTTAATTTTAACATAGTGTCACTCAGCCTCTCTGTTAGGGGCTATTTTAAAGAATCTTACTCTATTCCTTTTGTATAATTAATCATGTACCGTTATTTGTTTAAATAGTCAAATTATCAAGTTGATTTAAAACAATGTCGCAGTTAACAGTGTAAATCCCAATTAGCTACAAAGGTATTGAAAAGAGCTAGCCAGAGGAAACTTCCTGTTAATGTAATAGATTATTGATGTCATTGTACCTGTATTCTCACAAACAGGGGACAAGAGCTCTTAGACAGTAGCCATCTCTGTTACAAGGTAACTCTGGCCCATCCCCCTAAAGACGCCTTTTTCTTTAAAAGGCCAGATAATAGACATGCAGTCTGTGGGCAGTAACAGTGTCGCAACTACTCACTTTTGAAGTTACAGCTTAAAAGCCACCACAAACAACACGTAATAAACAAATCGACCCAATTTTTCCAAGAAAACTTCATTGAAACAGGCCCCATTCCTCCTCTAGGGCACCCTGTTTTACTTGGAGGATACAACAGCCTCATAACTGGTCTGTTCACCCTCCCATCTATGTTCCACACAGCAGCAGAGTCATTTTTTTTTTAAGACTTTATTTTTAGAGAGGGAGGGAGGGAGGGAGCAACACCAATGTGTGAGAAAAACATCAATGGATTGCTTCTCACACGTCCCCAACTGGGGACCTGGCCCATGATCCAGACATGTGCTCTGACCAGGAATCAAACCGGCCACATTTCCTTTCACAGGTTGACACCTAACCCACTGAGCCATGCCAATCAGGGCCAGAGTAATCTTTTAAAATCTAAAAACTGATCCTTACTTAAAACCTTCCAGTGGCTATTGTTCTTAGAATCAAAGCTCCTAAATCGCTTTCCAACCTCTTGCAACTCCCCTTGCCTGCACTGTCTGTTCCAGCCATGCTTAACTATTTGTAATCCCACAAAATCTCTTGCTTCTGGCCTCTTATTCAAGCTGTTTCCAACCTAGAACTCTTCCCCTCTCGGAAGCCTTCCTGACACCCAGCGCTAGATTAGGTGCCTCTCCTATGTATTTTGCCCAGTCTGATTATCTCATCACATGTGTTAATGAATTTTGCTTTCCTACAGACCCTGCCCAACATCTCTGACCTGTGTCTGAGGGATGTGCCCCCAGTGCCTACTCTGGCTGACATCGCCTGGATTGCTGCAGATGAAGAGGAGACATACGCGCGGGTCAGGTAGCTGCGGCGTTTCCTCCCGGATGAGGCGGCAGGCAGCAGGAGTGCTTGTGGGGGGCCGAGGGCCACAGCAGTGAGATCTGTGGGCTCAGAATGACTGTTCAGCTTGTAATGGGTAAAGGAATTGCAAAGGGGTGCAGTAGCCAGCTGACTGATATACCCTGACTTTCCCTGGTCCAGGAGTGATACACGCCCCCTGAGGCACACCTGGAAGCCCAGCCCTCTGATTGTCATGCAGCGCAATGCCTCAGTGCCCAACCTGCGTGGGTCCGAGGAGAGGCTCCTGGCCTTGAAGAAGCCAGCCCTGCCAGCCCTAAGCCGCACCACAGAGCTGCAGGATGAGCTGAGCCACCTGCGCAGCCAGATTGCTAAGATAGTGGCCGCTGATGCAGGTAGGAGCCCGAGTCAGGGCCAGAATATAGCGGGCTGTTCCTTCCCCCTGGCTTTTGGACATAATAGTGGTAAAGAAAATGGTCCCTGGGTCAGGGGAATTTGGGCCCAGGACTTGGGTTGCTCTGAGGCCTGACTAGCCTGTAGTACTTCTCGGGTGGTTTCTGTTAGTTATTTTGAGTTGACAGAAACAAACACCCTTTGCCAAGTGTCTTTAAGATGATGTCTTCCGTTAGACCTCAGCAGCTTTCCTTTTCAATATAAGAAATAAGCATCCCCTTTAAGCACCTGTCCTCCCTTCCCTTGTCCTGTCTACCAGAGACCACCTCTCTGTCCCCAGCTTCCCTCCCCCTCCTGTCTGCAGTTAAGGCAGAACACTGGACACGGGTGGGAGTCTGCCTTTACCAGGGGCATGAATTATCAACAGGTGTAATCCCTCAAAAAGCTCAGGGTTCATTTATCCTCATTCCTTTTTTTTTTTTTTTTGCTCCTAGTTAAGCTCAGTCAGCTCCCAACCCTTATCAGTTGGTAGAACACATGAAAATTACGGTGTTCTCTTGGACATCATTATGTATTTCATTCCCTTATTTGGCAGTTTTATAGAAGAACTCACTTGAATTTTCCATTTCTATCTATTGGCTACTTTTTTGTCATCTAGGAGACAAGCTAAAGTAGTAGTTTATGAAAAACCAGAGTGTTTCTTAGAATCTTAGAGGCAATTCCATTAAAACCTGGGAAACTAGGAGGACTGTCACCATTCTATTTTTGTTGCAGAATGCTTCTTCCATTCAGAGTATTCGAAAGAGGGTAGTCTCAGAGCACTACGAGCCCAACTAGGGAAAAGGCCTTGGTTCTGTCATTGTTGTTCCAGTCTAAACAGGGTTGTTACTCCATAGCTCACTGTGGAATGGGAGCTTTTAGGAGCCAAGGCCTTTAGTAGGGGAGCGGGAGGCAGGGGGATGTTCTGCCCTCCAGGAACACTGAAGAGCCCAGTGCTTCTACATCTTGAAATATTGAGGGGGAAGGGTTGTGGAGGAACCTTTCACTGGCTTACAGATACCAACCTGGGCTCTTCCAGGAAGATGAATGTCAGCCCAGAAAAGGAATGTTCGGTAGGCAGGGCTTGTGAAAAGATATTACTGCTGTGTTCTAGCCCCAGTGTCCATCCATGACTATTGTTTTCTCTTTCAGCTTCAGCTTCGGCCTCATTAACGCCAGATTTCTTATCTCCAGGAAGTTCAAATGTCTCTTCTCCCTTACCTTGTTTTGGATCCTCATTCCACTCTACAACTTCCTTTGTCATTAGTGACATCACCGAGGAGACTGAGGTAGAGGTCCCCGAGCTTTCATCAGTCCCCCTGCTTTGTTCTGCCAGCCCTGAATGTTGCAAACCAGAACACAAAGCTACCTGCAGCTCGTCTGAAGAGGATGACTGCATCTCTTTGTCCAAGGCCAGCAGCTTTGCAGATATGATGGGGATCCTGAAGGATTTTCACCGGATGAAACAGAGCCAAGATCTGTAAGTATTTGATAAGGAGCTCTGGGGATCTAGTTACTACTTAAGTCACCGGTAGCCAATAATCTAATAGACAGTACTTACATAATAAGTCCTCAGTAGTAACCATGTGTTACCCCAGTTTGAGGAAAGAGGAACACTTTATATTGGCTCATATTTGTTCAAAATACACCTTACACTTACTAAAGCCAAACCCTAAAACTACAAGCTAAAGTGGATTTCTGGTTGTTTGATAGGAATGATGGAATTTAGGAAATACCTACCTTGAGCAATTCATCTAGCAAAGAAGCCCTCGTGCTCCCACTGGAGGAAACGACCACCTTACACTGTTTGAAGTGTGGTCTGAGAACTGGCGTGGAACACACCAGAGGAGTTTGTTTGCAGGTTCCTGGACATTGAAACATTTAAGTTTGGCGGCCAGAGGCCAGAATGTGCAGATATATTTGTAAATGTAGATTAAAAGCTCTTGTGGGAGGTGAGGGCTCCCTCCTGAGTTGAATTGTTTGAAGGAAAGGTCCTGTTGTGCAAGGGCCCATTTCCCTTCAGAAACCAGAAAAAGCCCAGTGACTTCCTCATTGCTTCCTGGTAGTCAATCCTTTATGGAAGTCACTTTCCCCTTCTCTGGCCGTAGCCAGGTTGGTCTAGGTCATACCCCCAGTTCGTTGGTCTCCTGCACTCTCAAATTCAGCTGCTGCTTTGGGGCTGCCCTGAGTCTTTTTCTTCTGGTTAATAGATTGACTCTCAAATTTTCTTTTACTTGCCTCCTGTCCCATATCAGAGCCAAGCCCCTCCTCCCACTTATGTCCTGGGATCTTTTGTTCCTTGATAATTGGAGATGGGTTAATGATTAAGGATGGGAAAGTAGCCCCACCAACAAAGGGGCAGAAAAATGTGCCAGACTGAAGGCAATTACTTGTTTTTGCTTTCAGGGTTTAATAGTCAATCTTGACCCTTATAAATAGCCTAAGGACTAGTAAAACACCTTCATGGGGATGTGTATGTTTGTATATTAAGTCCACTAGAATTTTAAGCAACTATTTTCCAGATGTCTAGGATGTTCTTTCATGAGATATATGAGATCATTTAAAACTGTCCCAATCTGGAGTTGGTTTTGTTCCCACAGGTCCCTTTTGATGTGAACATTTTACTGCAAATTCTAGATCTCATTAAAAAAGAAAAAATCTCACAGCCCCCTTAGGGAAACACAATAGTAGGTAATCTTCAGAAAACCTTTCCCCTGGAACTAATAAAGGTCAGAATGGCCAAGGATTATTAAGTCACTTCTCACTAAAGGCAGGAGCAGAAGCTTAGCCACCACAGGCTAATTCTAACTGGTTTGATGGTTCTTTACTTTGCCCACATTTTACAGCCATCTCAGGAAATAGTAAAGCATAATAGTTAAGAAATGAGATCTAAAACTAGCTAGCTTGGTTTTGGACTCTGGAGTCACCACTTACTGGCTTAGTAGCTTTGGGAAAATCGTATAACCTTTCTGTGCTTCAGTTCCCTCATTTGTAAAAAGAGGATGGTAATAGCACCTGCCTCATACAATTGTGAGAATTAAGTGAGATTATATTCAGACATGGAACACTCCCCAGGACAGCATAAGTACTCAATAAATTAAATTATTACTAATTAAGCTGCTATTGTGTCTCTAGGAACCGGAGTTTATTGAAGGAGGAGGACCCTGCCGTCCTTATCTCTGAGGTCCTAAGAAGGAAGTTTGCTCTGAAGGAAGAAGATATCAGTAGAAAAGGAAACTGATACCACTCAGCTCTGCAAACTCAGTCTCATGCTCCTGGAATTCCTTCAATAGCTGCCTTCTTCACCGCAGATGTTTCTGCCTCTCCATTAGAAGTTTCTGCAACAGTCTTGCCGAAAGCTAGAACTTGGACCGAAAGAGCTGGCTTATGTTTCCCATACTTCAAACCTTAGCAGAAGCTAAGGCCTGTTTGAGCTGAGGTACCTGTTACAGGTAAATATATAGGTTGGAATGTTTCAGTCTAAGGGCTGAGCCACAAGTTTCTGGTTTTTCCCTGCCCCTGTGTGACTTAAAGGTCCGGAATGACTGACTTCACTGCATTAGACCCCATAACTGGTCTCACTGGACACTGCACCCAGCTGTCACTTACTTTCAGCAGCTTCCTGGCAGCAGAGTCAAGGGAGCTCTAAATGTTTATGTACATGGTCACAGGGCAGGACAAATCTTATGCTGCTCCATCACACACCGGCACCAATGCCCAGCAATCACCCTCTCCCCTATCCAACACCTAGAAGTAGAGGTCAGGCCTCTGAACGAGCTGACACTTGGGCTGCTTCTGGGAGGCCTGGGCTGTTTTTTTTCTTAAATATATTTTGTAATACTGTACAACCAAATCTACCCTCCAAGGCCCTGGGGCCTCATTGGTTCCACTGACTGAACTGTTGCTCTTCTGTGGACTTTAGTTTAAGCCCAGTAGAAGAGAGAAATGGGAGGGGAAAGAGAATACCATCTTTCTTCCAGGCCCTTGACTTCTCCTTTGTGTTGGGACATGGTTTGTACCCACACCATGCATGACTCAGACACCCTCAGGTTCCTTTCTCTACAGTATGTATTGTGTGTGTTTGGGTTGAAGCACTACCTGACATTAAAGGAAGGATTTGCAGAGATACTGCATTTGCTGTGTCCATCTCTGAGTGATAATCCCCTGGTGTCCCCTACAGATACAGGAAACATGTTATTATAGTATATGGACTTTCATTAACAGGATCCTGGCTTCCCCCCTTCCCTTATAAGGTCCTGCCTCTAGACGGAAAAACTTTCCTCAGAGACTCTTGTCCCTTTCTATACAGAGTTTGCCCATAGCTCTTAAAGTAGTTCCATCTTATAGCTTGTAAGCTTGCCCCCTAGGAGCCTTGTAGGTTCCACACCTGCATCATGGGAAACTGCTACCTGGTGGATAAAATCTTGGGTAGAACACAGGTCAAATTAGACTCCTTTCAGATCAGACCCCCAGCAATGATAGCATATAACATTAAAAAGTACCTTTTTCAAAAATAAAATTGGTAATGTTTTAATTACCATCAGAGCCAGCTTTGTAAGCATTTATTTGGACTCAGTTTTACAAAGGGAGTTCTCTCCCACTTTGTAGTAGAAGAGTACTATGGTCTCATCTAGATTATTATGTAGCCCAGGCTTTTTAAGGGAAATTTAAACAATATATAACTTTAAAATGCTATAAGTTACCACAAAAATAAAAGTTAAACTGCCAACATTCTACCCTCTACCTATCTCTCTATCCTCTTGCCCCTGTAGACCCAGGTCAGGGAGATGTGACTTACCACTCCCAGTGTCAGGAATAATGGTTCCAAGCTTAGGCTGGGTATGTATGATTACAGCCAGAGGTTAAAAGTATACACATCTATAAGAGGCGATGTCTCCGTTGGGTATCTGAAAGGGCAAAGAGGTGGCTCGCTGCAGGATGAGTAACAGGCTCTGTTGTGGAGGGATGAGGACCTGCCCTGCCTCCTTGGTGCTCACCATAGCTTCGTGCAGAAAATTTACCAGTCACCCCTAATTCAAGGAAAGGCATGATGCCAACTATACTGTCTCAAATGTCACCACCTGCTTTATTTACACAAAATGTTCAGTAACAGCAGCTTCCTCCCACATTTCCCCCTTACCCAAACATACTTCCCCCGACCCCTCCCTAAGATATTTTCCTATATCTGTCATTTCAAGGTATTTTTAAAACCAAACCCTGAAAGACATTTAGACTTGATGCCTGATAACTTGATTGCCTTCGGAGTCCTGGGTAAAGAGCAAATCAGGCTGCACACCTAACTGAGTGGGCCTGTCCTGGCACGGAGCCCCAGAGCTGTGAGGAAACTGCCTTAAGCCCTGATTCTGGTTGTTGGTGATCTCTCGGAAAGGAGATCTAGAGTTGTGGGCAATGACCCGCTGGCCCTGAGAATCCTCAGTGAAAAGCTGACTCCAGGAGTCCCTGTCATTCTTTTCACTGTCCCAGGAAAACACAATAACAGGACAAGAACTTTGTTTCACTGCTTCTGCGTTTTCTCCACTCCAGGAATCCCTGTATGTTTGAAAGAGGACAGGGGCCTGCCTATTTTCTCGGGCAGACACCTTCTCCAATTTAGACTTGTCCAAGGGCTGGTGGCCCTTACCCCCAGAGGGTTTACTGCATCTCTCCATACCCTGAGAGTTCTTTTTCTTAGATCCACGAAGCCATTCCCTCTTCCAGGAAGAATCCTTCTCTCCCTCCTTTTGATCCAGCGAGCAAGAACTTTCCAAGTCCTGGGTGAAGGGACAAGCCAGTGAGTCTTGCTTCTCTCCAGCACAGACTAAGGTATCAGGCTGGAACAAAGACAGAGTCATGACTGGGGTTCCCATTCTGTGTTGACCAGAAGCCTGGAGGGACTGAGGAGAAAGTCCAGCTTCCTGGATGTCTGCAGGGGTTGAAGTGGCTAAAGGGGGTGCCATGCAATCATCCCCCAAGCCCTGGATCAGATGGTCTAGCTGGGTTGCCTCTTTCTTAGACTCTCTGCTGGTCTGACTTTGTATATGAGATGAAACATTCCTCTTATCACCACCATTTGTCTTTCCTAGTAAAACAGATATGAACAAACATTATTCCGCAGGAACTCTGCCCTGGGCAGGATTTAATTGACTCTTTCTGAAATCAATATCAGCTACTATCACTACCTAGTGCAGAGGTCTTAGGCTCTTTACATACCCTTGTAGCTGAGCTTCCTGCTTTCAATTTCTATTCTCTCCTGAATGATCTTTCTAAAACACAGATATTACATATTCCTCTACTCCAATATATGGATGGTTCCCTTGATCTACCTAATAAAGTCAAACATGACATATAATCAGACTATAGCCACCTTTTCCAGCTGATTTTTCATATGTGGGTTTGTGTAACAGAGGGCATATCAGTTTTGCTTTTGTCTTTTATTTAATTTGCTTTCTGCTAGTGATCCTTGCCAAATATTACTCCAGCATACTATCCTTTGGGAAACATGCTCAGTACACTATTTTTGTAAGGCCCCAAAGATCATATTAATCATTCAACTCTAAGAAACCTTATGGTGACAGTGTGAAGAACACAGGTTCCCCACTCCCCAAACATTTCATGGCAAAGAGTAAAGACAATTAGCTGCTAAGTCAGCCAGCAGGAAGGGCAATAATAAAAAACAACTGCTCGTGTCCAACCTGCCAATTTTATTGGGTGTGGAATGTACCCTGCTCTGCCTTAAGGACTAATGCCATGGAATTCACCCCCCGCTACCAAATTATGCCAAGATCTAATTGCAGACAAAGCTGAACTTCTGATATCTTCTTTCCTTCTCTAAGAATTATACTGCAGAAACTATGTTTTGTGAAAGAGGTCTCAATTTTGCCTAAGACTTCTATGTAGACTGTAGAATATACCGAAATTTGAAATGGAGTGTCTTTGTAAAAAAAAAAAAAAAAAAAAAAAGCCTGTCCTTGTTAAAGCAAAAGGATGTTTTGTTTGGGTAGGGAGAGTGCATTTTGAAAGTTTATGCAAAGAACTCCTGGGAATCACAGCAAGAGTTAGAGCTCTCCTACCACCCTCCTACTAGCAGGAACCTTGCTCCGTAAGCCCCAGCCTGCTCTCAGCCAGCTGGTCTCCTGAAGTGAGACATGAAAGCAAAGAATTATCAAAAGATGATGAGACCCAAGCCAGCTTTATGCCAATCGTTCTAAGAAAAAGCATCAATGAACCTTGACTAACTTGAGAAGCTTTATACAAAAATATCAATCTTACATAGACTCCTCACGTGACCAATCCAAGACACACACCTAACTAAAGGTCAGCTCCCCTGTATACCCCCAACTCCCAAGTATACCTTTCCTCGCTGTTCTGACAGGGAATACAAATATTTAATATTGGACTGAGCAAAACAACCAGAAAAGTATGTTTGTAAGAGCATGTATATATTGCTTTTCAAAAGGTGATTATTTCTTGTGTTTTATAACTTCTAATAGGAGAGCTATTTTAACACAATGGTCTGGTGTCACCACTTACAAACATTCCAGCATGAAAAAAGTGAATGCACTCCTTTTTGCTCCCTGGGTGCTCCCAGACAGTTAGTTCATCGTACCTGGCTGCAAGGTGAAGAAGGAAGCAATGCTGGTCTGCCGAACGCCTGCAGGTGGAGCTCTTCTTTGAGTAAAAGAGATCTTAGCCTTTCTCTCTCCAGGAAAGAGCGTTAGCATTTCAGTACTTGACTTAATTAAATGTGTCTGAAAATGGAGAGAAAAATAACAATAGACCCTATTAATATCAAAACAGCTGCCAGACAGCAGAAATTCAATAAACATCAGTGACCACCCCCCACAATGGACCCCTTGGACTCCACACAGATCCTACTTCTTAGGTAGTTTTTGCTGTATATCATCTTCCACCATTTCCTGCCATACCAATGGTATGTTTTTTTCTCAGGAATCACATATTCCAACTATAGCCCTATCTGCTTCCTCATGTAAATCAGTAGGCTGACTAAATAACAGGATTTGCTGAAGGAGTTTCAAGGATGAATTTACAGTTAAAAACAATAATTCTCCATCTGCAGCAGTTGATGCATTTCAACAGTTACAGGATCAGTCTTACCATACTTTCATTTCGGACCCTTTTTATTATACTTTACAGTATGAATTGAAAGATGATCCAAAGAGGTTTTGAAAGTGTCAGCTTTTACAACCCTTATTTAGTGTGATTTGTTTTTGTTTCTATTTGCTTATGAAATGCCTGAGAAGTAGGGAGAATAGGGCTATATTCAATTCAATCTGTCTGTAATAGTCAAAGAAGAAATGAGATTTGCCAATATTCATGCAAGTTATAAACAGGTGTGAAACCTGAACCAAAATTATTAATCCTAACCCAAAGCTGACTCCATTTCATTTTTCAATTTGGAAACTAAAAATTTAAGTGGGTAAAAGAAAGAAATCCTGGACTTAAAACTCACACTTTGACTTTAATACTAGTACAGGACCTTCCATTCTACCATACAAAACTATAAAACTGGATAAGTTACATGAAACAACTGATTGTAGACAGTGGATAAAAGCGTAGCATGGTGATCCCTGAAAAGAATTTTTGAGAAGGAAAACAAATAGAGCGAGTCCTGTGATCACGCTAGCTTTCTGCTTGGAAGTACTTGCCAGACGTCAATGTAGAAGGTACTAGGCAGAGCCCTGGTCTTGAATGGAATAAATTGAGATTGGAATTTGAGGAAGCTGAGGTGGCTGGGATTTGCAGCACAGAAATATATCCAGAAATCTATGTACATAGAGATCCCTTCCGTCTATTATGAATACTAACCTACACGTGTTCGGTGATACCCCATGGGGCCAGACAAAGAAATGCCAGGATTGCAAGCTGAACAATCCCCAGAGCTCACACAGGTCTGGCATAGTTGTAGCCAGAGTAGAGGGACCTCCTTGAATACCAGGGACATTCAGTAGAGTTCTCAGAAGCATCATCCCTTAGCCTTAAAGCTAATCTAGCCCTAGAGCAAAAGCTATTCCAACCTTGTCTTAACAAAATTTAAAAGCAAGCATTTAAAGTAGCAAGCTGATTAGCAAGTAACTACCTAAACAAATTTCAGTATTCCTTAAAGACAACAAAATCCAGATACCTAAAAATGTAGCACTGAAGATGCTAGCATATAATAAAAATAACTAGATATATGAAGAAGCAGGAAAAAATTCACAATTTGGGGGTAAGAGGAATTAGTTAATAGAAGCAGACTCAGAAATGTCAGGGATGACAGAATTAGCAGACCTTAAAATGGTTACTATAAATATACTCAAGGATTTAAAGGAAAATACAAAAATGAGAGAAATAGAAGATATGACAAATTCACAAAATAGGCCTAATAACAGACTAGAGACTACAGAAGAAAATCACAGTCAACCTAAAGAAAATAATATATTCAAAATGAAGCAAAAAAAAATCTGAAAAGAATAAAAGTTTTAATCTGTAGGCTATCAAGCATACATAGAATTACCAAAAACAAGGCATGAGGACAAAATATATTTGAAAACATTATGGCAAAAATTTTCCAAATCTGATGAAAACTACAAACTATAATATACCATCTTTGTCAAAGATGGCCAATACAAGGTCTTCCATTTCTCATGCTCTTACGTGAGCTTGCCACTACTCTCATTAGGTGGAGAGATCCATATTCCCTCCTTGAACTTGGGAAGAACTTTGTCACTCACTGCCTGACAAAATATGATACAACAGAACTAACATTACATGATTTCCTAAACTAAGTCATAAAAATGCCATGTACTTCTGCCTTTCTTTCTTAGGATGCTTACTATTAGAGCCTGGCTACCATGCTATAAGGAAGCCCAATAGGCACATGACTAAATTTTATGAGACACACATCTTAAATAGGTGAAATAATGTGAGTTGGTATTCCAACAAGTATTTGAGCACCTATATGTATTAAGAACTGGGGATATAGTGATGACCCAAACAGACTGTCTCTGCCCTGGTAAAGCTTATAGCTTAAGGGAAAAAAACAAACTAATAATAGTTCTTTAAATTACTACAAGTATGCTAAATCCCAAAAAGAAGATTTAAAGAAAACTACAGATTATCATACAATAAGCAATAAGACCTCAATTAGCAAAATATACAGGAATAAAGCTTTTACTAAGTTGACCACACTTAGTAGAAGGGATGTTCATTCCTTAGGTCAGAGTGATATCCTGAGTGAAGCTGCCCCAGTTGTAGATCTCTTAGAAGACCCATGGCTTCAAGAATCTACACTTACCTCAGTGGAATATTAACACTGAGTAAAAAACACATCATGTGGAACTGAGAAGGGGCCCAGGCATAAAGTCCTTCAGCAGATTATCCCTACCTCAAAACAAAGGCAGCCCCAATGTATACATTACACAATATAAGAAAGCCTAATAGGCATAGGGCTCCTATAGAACCAAACCCCTCAGTGAGCCATAGCCTAGGTTTTAACTATTCTTACCCTATAAAAATGCCCTAACCAACCTACTCTTAAGAAACATATTCCCTCCAAATCAAAGAATCTCTAGTTCTTTGATATATCACATTCACGGTCCCACCAAGTTTTCTTCTTTCAGAGTGGTAGGAGGAAAAAACTACTTCCTACGACTATGTCTTCCTACTGAGAGTGATGGGTTGGGTTTTTTTGGGGTTTTTTTTTTTTTGCCTGCAAATTATCCCAAAAGTGTGACTCTTATACTTCACAAAGTATCATAGCAGATCCGGGATCATAAATTTCATCCCTTTTACTATTAGAAAATGTTTCCATTCTTCCACAGCATTTAAGTTCAGTTTAGCCCTCATTCTATCTTTATCTTTTCTAATAATTTACCCGTAAACTTGTCTTAAAGTTCTGCTTTCAAACCAATTTAATTCGCCCTGCCTACTGTGGCTCAGTGGATTGAGCACCAGCCTGTGAACCAAAAGGTCATTGGTTCAATTCCCAGTCAGGGCACATGCAGGCCAGTAGGGGATTCTTGAGAGGCAACCACACATTGATGTTTCCCTCCCTTTCCCTCTCTAAAAATAAAATCTTTAAAACAAAAAAACAAAAAAACAATTTAATTCCTCATTTTATGATTCACGTGGCTTTCAGTACAAGTCTAGTACAAAATTTGATCCAACTTCCTTTTTTTTCATAATGGTCACTCTGATTTTGAATTTATGTATGAAGTCTCACTTTCTTTTTCTTTTATATATATTTTATTGATTATGCTATTACAGTGATCCCATTTTTCTCCCCTTTATTCCCCTCTGCCCTGAACCTTACCTCCCACCAGCAATCTGCCCCCCCTTAGTTCATGTACGTGGGTCATACATATAAGTTCTTTGGCTTCTCCATTTCCTATACTATTCTTAACCTTCCCCTGTCTATTTTGTACCTACTCTTTATGCTTCTTATTCTCTGTATCTTTTCCCCCATTTTCCCCCTACTCCCCCCGTCTGATCTCTATTTCTGTAATTCTGTTCCTGTTCTAGTTGTTTGCTTAGTTTGTTTTTGCTGTTGTTTTTTTAGGTTCAGTTTTGAGAGTTGTGAGTTTGTTGTCATTTTACGGTTCATAGTTTTTTATCTTTTCCTTAGGTAAGACCCTTTAACATTTCATAAAAGGGCTTGGTGATGATGAACTCCTTTAACTGTACCTTATCTGGGAAGCACTTTATCTGCCCTTCCATTCTAAATGAGAGCTTTGCTGGACAGAAAATCTTGGATGTAGGTCCTTGCCTTTCATGACTTTGAATACTCCTTTCCATCCCCTTCTTGCCTGCAAGGTTTCTTTGGAGAAACTGGCTGATAGTCTTATTGGAACTCCTTTGTAGGTAACTGTCTCCTTTTCTCTTGCTGCTTTGAAGATTCTCTCATCTTTAAGCTTAACTTAATTATGATGTGTGCTTCCTTGGGTCCATCTTTGGGATTCTCTGAGTTCTCTGGGTCTTCTGGAAGTCTGTTTCCTTCGCCAGATTGGGGAAGTTTTCCTTCATTATTTTTTCAAATAAGTTTTCAATTTCTTGCTATTCCTCTTCTCCTTCTGGCACCCCTATGATTCGAATGTTGAAACGTTTAAAGTTGTCCCAGAGGTTCTTAAGCCTCTCATTTTTTTGAATTCTCGTTCCTTCATTCTGTTCTGGTTGAATGTTTATCTCTTCCTTCTGCTCCAAATCTTTGATTTGAGTTCTGGTTTCCTTCCCTTTACTGTTGGTTCCCTGTATATTTGTCTTTATTTCACTTTGCATAGCCTTCACTTCTTCCCCCATTTTGCAACCATACTCCACCATATCTGTGAGCATCCTGATTACTAGTGTTTTGAATTGTGCATCTGATAGGTTAGCTATCTCTTCATCACTTAGTTCTACTTTTGGAGCTTTGATCTGTTCTTTCATTTGGGCCATATTTCTTCGTCTCAGCATGTCTGTTACGTTGGAAGGGATAGAGCATTAGGTATATGCCAGGGTGGGGCATCCCAGGTCACTGCACCGGTGATGCTGTATGTGGGTGAGTGGTCCGAGAGGGAACAATGACGCTTATTCGGCTCTCCGCCGGCTTTCAGTCACTTCCCCTACTACCCACAAGCAATTTGGGCCCTTCTGGTGCTGATTCCCAGGTGGGTGGGTTTGTGTACGTTCTAGGACCCTGTGCGTCTCTCCAGCAAACACTCCTGTGAGGCTTAGAGTTTCTCCCACTGCTGCATCCCCCACAAGTTTTTACAAC